ATGACGTGTTACAATCGTGACTGGTACGACACGCATGGCAATTATGACGTGCATGACAACTACGGCGCTAGTGAGAATCATACATGTATTACTTTCATGGCGGGCATGACAAATTATGACGTGCACGACAGTCGTGACACATGACATTTACAACATGTATGACAGCCATAAGGATCAGACATTCACAGCACGCATGACAATGATGGCATTTTGGCCGTTATGACACGCAGGACATGCATGCCATTTTCCACGTGCATGACAACGAAGCTCAATACATTTTTGACATACATGAAGACTGGTGGCACACATGACAGTTTCACATGCATGACATTTTTGACACGCATGGGAATTATGGCATGGCTGTCAGTTACGTCACGCATGACAGTCCTGATGCACAGGAGAGCTGAGACACACACTAACTCCACGCCCGTCACAGCGTCAGCCTATCAGCTTCAAGTCGTGTCCTCGGGTTCGTAGCGCCGACCTCTGCAAGCCGCTAGACTACGTTTCCCGGGAGGCGTCGGGGCTTCGCCGCACTACTTCCGGGTGACAGGTGACGGCTTCCTGGGGGAGCTTCCATCCCTGAGGCTGCGGTGAGTGCGCTTGGGTTGACCTGCCGAGCCCAGAATCGCAGTCGTCCCATGTACGCCTCACGCACCGCTGGGAGGACAGGCCCGCCGCCCAGCCTAGCTCTTATTGATGGCCTCACAATGCTGACCTTGAACACAGCTTAGACCCAGACTCCAAATTAGGTCCCGTTCTGGCTAGCAATGCCCCCGCCTTGGGATTGAGCCGAGGTGCCCTTTGCCACCCAGGTCCTGCTGCTGAAGCTGTCACCAGTGGTGATGTGAGGACGCGGGCTCAGCTGTCCGTCAGCCTGGCTGGGTCGCAGAGACAGGATTTCACCCTGCTGTGGCCTCAAGGCTCTGCTGCAAGTGCGTGGGCTGTGACGTCACAGCCCACGTCACGGCCCGCCAACGTCACAGTCCGTCACGTCACGGCCCGCCCGCGTCACAGGGAGACTGAGAAGCCAGGCCTGGCTGCGCCCAAAGCCCCCGCGCTGGAGACAGGTGGCAGGTGTGGACCTGGTCCTAGGGGACCTGGGGGTTGCTAAACATGAGGATCCAGGGCCCGGCCCAGCTACAGGGACACTGCGGTGGGGAGACGGCTTGAGCCCAGGAGCCGGTGGCCAGCCTGGGTAAGATGGTCGGACCCTGTGTCAACAACAACAAAAATGTGGCTTCCTTCCTCTCACTGTCACTGGTGGCCACCATGGAAGAGCAAGGAGCCTCCATGGGGACTGGGAGTCCCAGGCCCAACAGAGAGACCCATTCGGGAACAGCAGGAGGTCAGAGGTCAGCAGGTCCAGATTGGGGTAGGGTTCACCACCTTCCTGCTGCCTGGCTTGCTCCTCACCCCCAACTCTGTGCCTCCCTAAAGATGATCAGCCCTAAAATCGACAAGAGCCATGAGTCTGCGCTGGTCATGGTAAACGACTGAGCCCTGAGCCCCCAACTCTGACCCCGGGAGCTCTGCCACTGATGCTCCAGCCTGGAGATGGCGTCCAGCTCCACCCTAGCTCCCCGTTGTCCGGGCAGGAGGCTGTGTTGTGGGCACACTCGCTCTTCTGAGCCTCTGCTGCCGCCTGCAGCACGTGAGGCAGTGTGGAGGTAAAGAGCAGGGTGAGCACCCTGACCCACAATGCTCCAAATCCTTTTACTACTGTGTGTTTTCAGACAAGGTTTCTCTTAGTTTAGCTGGCCTCAGCTCACAATCCTCCTTTCTCAGCCTCCTGAGTACTGGGATCAGGCATGCACCACCACACCAGGCTCAAAATCCAAAATGTTTGAGCACTAGCATGGCACAGGTAGATTACACACCCGACTTCATGGAACAGGTCACAGTCAAAACAGTCACCACTGCATGTGTGCCGCACACCTGTAATCTCAGCACTCAGGAGGCAAAAGGATTGCAGGATTGAAGCCAGCCTGGGCTGTGTAGCAGGCTCTGTCTCAAACAAAAACAAAAGCAAATGACCCAGGCATAGGACACGGGCAGGGTGCTGCCTTCCACACCAGCATGACAAAACAAAATACATGTGCATGAAGAATACCAAATGAAGTGAGCATCATATAAACTGATGCATACGAGGTGATTATGAAGATGCAAAGAACCCAAAATCCAAAAGAAAAAATCCTGAAACCCTTCTGGTTGCAAGCATTTCTGATGCGGGTTCCCAAGCTGCAGAGGACACCTCTGTGTTACAGACACTAAAGCAGGTGCTTTGGACTTCAGTGTCCAGAGGGCATCCACGTGGGGACTTCTGCTTCATGCAGAAGCAAGCATAGACTTGGTGCTCAATAAATGGCAATGTGAGGCTGAAAAGTCACAATTTCCACCACAGCCCTCTCTACCTGGACACAGCATATTTTGTGCTAACTTGAGCATTAAGGTTCACTTATGACCCAAAACTGACATAGGAAATGATTTCTGAATTAGAACGAGAACATGGTGAGCATGGGAAGAGAACAGATGCACCCACAGCTCTGTCCTTCTGAGGAGTGGCCCGCCATGAGGGACAGGGTCTCCAGAGGTCCAGTGTCAGCACCCTATTTTGTCATCTGTGCCAAAAGGAACCTGAGGCTCAGAGAGGACAAGCTAGTTGCTCAGGGTCACACAGCCTGTCTTCAGGGTGCCAGGCTCTTCCAGGGTCAGGGAAGCCACCTGCGCTCTGACCCTGGCCTCCTTAACGTCTCCAACACATGGGAGGCCCCTCGAGGCACATCACTGTGGTTGGACTCTCGCCTAACCTGCCGAGGCCCTGGGCTCCATCCCAGCCCTGTAGAGCGAAGCAGGGACAGACGGTCAAGGTGTCTCTGTCAGACCCATTCAGTTCTGGGGTGAGTGGGCATGGCTGTGTGCCAGTAAAACTTCATTTAGGGACACTGAAATTAGAATTTTGTGTCATTTCCACGTCATGAAGTAGGATTCTTCTTTATTTTTCCTGCTGTGATGCTGGCATGGAACCAGGGTCTCACACATGCGAGGCCAGTGCTTTGCCCCTGAGCTGCACCCGGCCTGTGTGCTTTCCTTTCCTTTGACCCTCTCTTTTCACATTTCTAAGCCTTTTACCTTTCCTTCTCGACTTCTCCATCTGGGCGGGTGCCATTTCCTTTTGGGGCAGAAGGCGTGGCCTTATTTCTTGGTGGTGATCAGCTTTGCTTTTTGCATATGAAGGACTCTGTCTGCATGGCACCCTCTCCTGTGGGATCCAGCTGCAATGGAGGGGAGGTTCCCTGTTTAAGGGATCCAGGCCGGGTGAATCATGCCCACAACTCAGCAGGTCCAGCCCAGGCCAGCAATGAACAAAGCCAGGGCATTGAGGCTGCAGTGAACTTGGATTGGCCAGGTGGGGCAGAGGTGCTGGGCGGGCAGACCCCCAGAGTGTGCTCTGGTCATTCCCTCACCTGAAGACAGAGCTGCCCATCCCAGAGTGTGCAGACCATTTCTGCCTCCACGTGTGGTCCATACCATCCGTGCAGCCCTCGGGATGGCAATCAGACAACCCAGAGGATGGGGTGCCTGGAGGCACCTGCCTCAGTAGGTCCAGGAGTCTGGGGCAGAAGCTGGGGTCGGGCCAGAGGTGAGTCAAGCCCCACAGGTGCAGAAAATGCCCCGGTGCCATGAGGAGATAAGGAAGGTAGGGAGCGAGAAGTCTCAGAAGCTCAAAAGCGGCTGTGGGGCTTGCACCACCTCTGGGCCTGGGAGCTCCACCTCCTTGGTCACCCCTGGAGTCCTGGTCCAGCTGGGTCACCCACACACTCATTCACCGTGTCCTGCAGGTCGGGCCCTGGCCACCTCATCCCTGACACCCCTGCTATTCTCTCTTCCTGCCTTTGCCAATGCTGTGCCCTCTGCCCAGAGCACCGTACCCTCCTTGCTGTTCCAGGCTCTGCTACCCCTTCATACCCCAGCTCTGGGCAAACTGTGGGGCCTCAAGATGCCACTTGTTTAAGCCTCAGTTTATCTGTGAGCAGGGATAGTTGAGACCACCTCCTATTCAGACCTCAATGCCCAAATCAAAAGTCCCTCCTCTGGGAAAACATCTCTGCTTCTCAGGAAAAACCAGCATGGGGGTCAGAGATGTGTACGCATCCAACAGTCCCCACACTGTGGGGTCCTAGAGGGCCAACGCAGAGAATACTTGGGGTAGCTGACTAGGATGTCAGGGAGATTTGGCTGAGAGCATGAATATTTTCTGGGCAAACTCCTCTTCACCCTTCAGGAGCCACCCCAGATATCCCTTCCTCTGAGAAGTCTTCCAGGCATGGGGGGCCTGTTAGGGTTACTAACCCACCTGAATAGCCCCTCGCTGTCCCCACCCCCATCAGGATATGTTTGCCTCATGCGTAGCTGTATACTAGGATTGCCAGCTACCTGTGTGAGCTGGTGCTGGCTGGGCTGGCCCTGGGGTTGCAGGACTGCGTGTGAACCACCCACAGCCTGCTGGAGGAGGACATCAAACTGCCAGCCTCCTGGTACAAGGGACCCTCCGTCTACAGTGCTGGTTGTCGAGCTGAACTGTGGGACCCCCAGGGGTTCCAGGAGCTCTGGGCACTCACCTCCCACCCAGTGTTTCCCAGGCCTACTTGTTCCTCCCTGTGACTTTTGTCATCAAAATAAAATGTGAGAATCCCTAATCCAGACGCTCAATAAATCATTTTGTGTGGATTGGAATCATTCTGTTGCAAGTGTCAAAAAACCCAATTACTGAGCAAAGGAGAGGGTGAAGGGCCCCTCTTCTGTGGAGAAGCAGCCAAAGTGCAGCTTCAGGCTTGGCTGTATCCAGGAGTGCAGGCAACACTGCCACTGGGGAGAGCAGCTCCCACGGAAAGGGGGGAGATGGCTGTGACCACGCCCTAAGCCCCAACCAGCTACAGTGATGGTGTCAGCACAAATGGGAAGGGACCTGTCTGAGCCCCGTGGTCAGCCACCGTCCAGGGTTCCGGGAGGCTCTGGCCAGGCCAGCATTGGCCTTGTCGCTGGAAGATGGGCAGCTCTGTGAGAAAATGCTGGGGTCCTGGGCGCCGACGGCTCACATCTGTAATCCCAGCTACTCAGGAGGCAGAGATGGAGGCCAGCAGAAGCAACTAGTTCGCAAGACACTATCTTGAAAACCCATCACAGAAAGGGCTGGTGAAGGCCCTGAGTTCAAACCCCAGCACCGCAAAAAAAGGAAAGAAAAAAACGCTGCGTGCGGCACACACAAAGGCCACCACTGAACAGCTTCCGGAATAGCAGTAATGACGGTCAGCAGCTGCGTTTTCTCGTTTCCTGAGAGGCGAGGCTTTGTCTGCCATTTGTTTTGCTCGTGAGCATAAATGAGGCGTCTGACGTGTGTCGGCCTTCGTGCGGAAACGCTCGTTCCAGCCTTGCTGTTAGACTTACTCTCCTACTGTGCAGATGTGGAAACTGAGGCCCGCAAAAAACCACCCCTCCAAAGAACGGGACTCCCAGCTGTGTTGGGGTGAAACCCGCGACGCAGGCCTGTGGGTTCGGGGGCTGGAAACTGAAGCCTCCCCGGTCCCCGCAGAGCGTGCGCGGCGCCCCCGGCCCTGTCCCCATCGCCTCTGCGGCAGGGCGTCCACATTTCTCCGGTTTCGATGACATCATCCAGGCACTTGTCGGCGTCCCCAGGGCCACCGAGCGGGAGCGGCGGGTACAGACGGCCGCTCGGGCTCCGGGTGTGGCCTGCGGGGCGGGGCGGGGCGGCGCGTGCGCAGCAGGCGCGGCGGGAAGTTGGAAGCCCGCGGGACATGGGCGCGGCGGGCCTGGCCCGGCGGCTGCGGGGGGCGCTGCGGGAGGAGGAGCCGCGGTGAGGGCGGGGCCCGAGGCGGGGGTGGGGGTGCGGGGGCGGGAGTCGGGTCCCCTCTGACCCGCTGTCCGCAGGGCGGTGGAGGAGCTGCTGCAGCGCGGCGCGGACCCCAACTTAGTGCTGGCAGACGGCGCGGCGGCCGTGCACTTGGCGGCGGGAGCCCGCGACCCGCGCGGCCTGCGTTGCCTTGGGGTCCTACTGCGCGGAGGCGGGGACCCCAACGTGCGGTGAGGTGGCGCCTAGGCCCGGGGCGTGGTCTCCCGGGGCGGGGACCAGGATCGAGCGAGACGCCTGCAACCGTGGCGCGGGGCGGGGGCGACGTTACGCTGGACCCAGGGGGGACGAGGGTTGGAGATGGGTTGAAAGCTTGAGGGTCCAGGGCGCACGGTCGGACCCTCGGACCCTCCGAGGGGGAGGCCTCACCTCGAGGCCGAGAGCCGGGGCTGGGTCCCCGCAGCAGAGACGACGGTCCCTGCCGGGAGGCGGACCCTGCAGTGACCCTCGTGTGCCCGCCCCAGATCGGCCGAGGCGCTGACGCCTCTGCACGTGGCGGCCGCCTGGGGCTGTCGCCGCAGCCTGGAGCTCCTGCTGAGCCACGGAGCGGACCCCGCGCTGCGCGACCAGGTAAAGGGACCCTGCGGCGACGACCGGGCGGCGCGGGCGGAGGAGGGGAGGGGCGGGCGAGGGCGCCCCCTGCTGACCGCGCGCCCGCAGGACGGACTCCGGGCCCTGGACCTGGCGCTGCGGCAGGGACACCGCGACTGCGTGCGCGTCCTGCGGGACTTCCACGCGCGCACCGGGATCCCCGAGAATGAGCCTCGCGGTGAGTAGGGTTTGCGCGGCGTGGGGACCCCGAGCTCCGGCCAGCTGGGAGTGTCTCTCTGGCCTCCCCTTTCTCCCGCCCCTGGGCCACAGCTGTTCCTGATGGTCCTTGGCACCGTCACCCGCGGGCTGTCTCATGTCCACTGTCTCTGGCTGCTTTCTCCCTTCTCTCGACAACACCAATCTCACTGTGGGATCCAATGCATTCTCACTCTCGCCACCTTTCCTCTCCGACCCTATTCTGCCCTCCATGTCCAGGCACCTCTGAACGACCTTGCGTGACTGCGGACTCCAGTGCACTCCAGACCCAACTGGGCAGGGACACGGACCTAGAGGTTGACCCCGGAGCCCCCAGCCTCCCTGTACCCCTTGAGGTTGGCGACCAGGACGGAAGTTCAGAGGTCCCCAATGGGTGCGGGGACTGCAGTTCCGATGCTTCCTTTGTCACCGCAGTTGAGGTTTCTGGAGCCGACACAGACCTGGACAGAACTTCAGCCTGGGGCAGGCCCTTGCCCCAGACAAGACACGAATCACTTGGTGACTGTCTTCCTGAGAACATACCAAGTGCTGTGGGTGGCCTGGCGCTGTGCCATGGAGCCAGGATGGCGGACAGGGATACAGAACTGAATATCCGTCTACAGGCTCTGACCCTGACCTCCCCAGACGCTGCTGGCCTCCTGCCTTCCCCCTCATTTCCATCCCATAGCCCCCAGCAGGGACCACCACCCGGAGCCCCTGAATTCTACAACCTGCCAGAAGATCAGACGTCTTTCCATAGTGATGTGGACGCCCTCTGGCTGACCGAGGACGAGGCAAGCATCACAGGGAATGGGGACTCTGTTCTCTCTTGCCAATATCTGCCAAACCCCGCCATGTCGGACCTGGAGCTGCTGCGGGGACTCCGAGCACTGGGCCAGAGTCCTGGCCCCATCACACCCTTCACTCGGCCGTATTACCTCCGCCGGCTGGAAGAAGCCCAGACTGCCCCTGGTTAGTCCCTCTCGGGCATCCGGCCTCTTGGGAGATGCCACCTGTCGGTCCACCTTGACTCAGTGTCCCCTCCCAGGCCCAGACTTTTCAGGACACAGCCCAGAACTGGCCAAGGCCCTGCTGACCGGCCGAATCCCAGACGCCCAGGCCGATGAAGACGCTCTGGCCCAGCAGTTTGAGAGGCCGAATCCCAGGAAGAGGTGGCGGGAAGGGACCGTGAAATCAAGCTTCACGTATCTGCTGCTGGACCCCAGGTAAGGGGGTGGCACAGACTCAGACATGGGAAGATTTGGGGATTGGGGCCGGGGTATAGCTCAGTGGCAAAGCAATTACCTAGCACAGGAGGCCGTGAGTTCCATCCCCAGCATGGCAGAAGAAGAAAAGAGAAAAATGGGGACTAGTTCTACTTAGGTAAGTAGACTGGCCCTTTCTTGTCATCACCTTCTTGATAAAAGGCATTGGGCCCAATTCAAGCTGCATAGTACTTTTAGGGAACAGCTACCCTTGTCTGGTCCTGTAAGGGGTGGGTCACCACATGTGGGTTCAGAAGGCCCTGAGGGCTGTCTCTGAGACCTTGGTCCCTTTTCCATCTCTGAATTACCCTGGCACCCAGGGAGACTCAGGACCTGCCAGCCCGATCCTTCTCCCTGACCCCAGCCAAGCGCCTTCAGACTTTTGTTCGGGCCATCTTCTACGTGGGCAAGGGGACACGTGCCCGGCCAAATGTCCACCTCTGTGAGGCCCTTGGCTACCGTGGGCGGCCAGGAAAACAGGTATGTGGACAGGGATCAGATTCCGGGAGTGGCAGACAGGCTGTGGGTGGGTATAGGTAGGAGGGGCTTGAAGACCAAACCCTGAACCTGCCCTGCCCCCCAGGCCTGCCCCAAGGTACGCCAGATCTTGGACATCTGGGACAGTGGCCGTGGTGTTGTCTCCCTGCATTGCTTCCGGCATGTGGTGGCCGTGGAGGCTTACACGAGGGAGGCGTGTCTCATGGATGCCCTAGGTGAGTACCTAGCTTGTGTGGTTGGGGTCACATGAAGCACATTTGATCTGCCAGCTCCCCCACGCATTCCCTTTCAGGGCTGTTCATTCACTCAATGAGCAATTATTGAGTACCACCTGTGTTTTTGCAGGTGCACATATTTTGCTCCGTTTGTTTACCCTCGAGGGCAATCTGCAATAGGTTTGCTGTCACTTTGTTGGCGGAGGGTACCCTAAGGCTGCCCCTGTGACCACACTTCCTGTCTCTGCAGGGATCCAGACACTAACCAACCAGAAACAAGGGCACTACTATGGAGTGGTGGCCAGCTGGTCACCTGCTCGGCGCCAGCGCTTGGGAGTACACCTACTGCATCGCGCCCTCCTCGTCTTCCTGGCCGAGGGTGAACGAGAGTTGCAGCCTCAGGACATCCAGGCCCATGGCTGAGTGCTGGGAACTTGGCTCCCAGTGTGGGTAGAGATCACTGTGTTTGAATCCCCAGCTGCCCAGTGCTGAGAACATCCCATCTCTGGCTTCAGAAGACGGGGTATGTGTTCACGTGTGTACACGTGTGTGCCTTCGTGCACACATGCAGCACCAGGACAGATGACCCCCTCGGACTGAGGGACAGCTTTGTGACATGTGCAGAACTGGAAGGCACTTAGGAACACTCAGGGCTCCTGTCTGTGTGGACAGAGTCCACTTTTACCTCCCAGGCACAGGGGACCCACATGGCAGGATGGACAAGGGGCTTCCTCAGTTGCCTGGGTCTGTTGCCAATTTTGCTGCCTCAGCTGCACGACCTTGCTTCTGCCATTTACCCAACTGAGACTCCATTTCTTCTGCTGTGCAAGGTGACGCCCTACTTAGGTGGTCATTGTGGTAGGGATCAGATGACCTCGTGCAGGTAAAGTGTGAATCAGCCCGGCACAGAGCCCAGAAACTGGGGGAGGGGAGGCGGGCAGGCTCTCAAGGGGCCAACGAGGTGGTGAGATGTGGCAAGCAGTGGTCCTCAGCTGCGGGAGTGAGAAACCAGCGCTCCTTGGGAGCCTATGCAACATCGCCTCAGACCCACTGCTTCCAGTATCCGCTGGGACTGATAACCCCAAGTTCCCAGCAATGCTTGCAACTCCAGGCCATTTGCATATGCAGAGAGCTTCAGTAAATGTCAAGCTGCCATTCTGGAGTCCTTGCCGCTGTGAGGCTGGCTGTCTTTTGGGGAGCGTATGTGTGGGTCCTTTAAGTTTCCAGAAGTTGTTTCTTCAGGATCTGGTGGGCTCAGTGACAGGAGATGTGCTGCCCCTTTGGCTTCCTGACCTGCCCTTCATCGTGGTTCAACGATGCAGATGCCACAGAGGGCAGAGGTTGGAAATTGCTGGTCTTATCTTTAGGGACATAGTGTCTGGAGTGGGCTCAGCCTGAGCTTACACCCGAGCACTGGAAATCTTTCTGAGCTTCGTGTCCTGCTGGGTACAGGAGCAGTTTCCCAGAATGGCCAGTCTGATAAAGCCAAAAAACTAAAATAGCATGCAGTAACCTGGAAAACAGCCAAAGACCCCAACAGATGGGCTTTGTCCAACAGGGTTTCTCAGTCTAGGCTATAATGACATTTGGGGCTGACTGCTCTTTGCCGTCGGGACAGTCCTGCGCATTCTAGGGTGTTGATCAGTAGCCCTGGCCTCCCGCAGTGTGTCAGTCAAAAAGTTTCCACAGTGTTGCAGAGGACAGGGTTGAGCCTAGGTGCGACCAGTGGGAACAGGACAGAAGTTTCAGAACGGAGGCAACAATGCCTTCTGCCTCAGATCCCACCATGCACAGATAGACCTGGACAAGCCTGAGAATAAGGATCAAAGGCACTGGAGCAAGACCCAGGGCAGGGAAATTGCTCCGCCAGACATAAAAGGAAAGAGTTTGTGGTTTCAGTAAGTCGTGACAAGGGACCATATGCACGTCAAAGGGTAAGATGCCATAGAGGTACTGACTGGGTGGGTGTGGTGGGGTAAGACCGATTCGGCAGCAGGTGTGTGGCCCGGCGTACAGTAGCTGCTCAGTCGTTGCAGCGCCACTCTCACCTTGGATCTCACCCTTTGACAAGCTGCCTGGCGCTCTAGGGGTCCTACCCAGGATGCCTGCTTTCTGAGGTGTGAGGGAATCAGGAGGAAGCCTGGCTACCCAGCTGCTCCCATGGCCAGCACAGCATGAGCCCAGACTGCAGATGGCAACACTGAGGGGATGGGGAGCGTGGAAACCCTGCCCTGGGGTCACCCAACACAGATCCTAAGACTCCGATTGTCACTTCTCTTTATTGATTTACAAGTTGAGATGGGCAAGTTTGGTGGTGGTGGCCCCTTCCCCAGTCCCTCCCCCCTTGGGTAGCAGTAGCTCCCAGCGCCGAGGAATGGGGTGGGGAGGGAGTCTTGGGCAATAGGAAGGGACAGCGAGGGTCCCTGCGGGGCTCTGGGTCCTAGGATCAAGCACAGCTGACACGGAAGACAGAGCGGGGTGGGAGGCCTGCCTAGGCCGTGGCGTTGGGAGGGGGAAGGGGGCGTCTGTACAAGGTCATCCTCCGCGGGGTCCTGGCTACGGCCAGAAACACCGATGGGCTCCGCAGGACCTAAGCAGAGCGGAGAGTCCACCTGGCTCTCTCGAGGCCACGCCCTACCCGGCCTGGGGGCGTCTCCCTGACCAGACCCCGCCCACTGAGGCGAAGGCCCGCCCAGGTGGTCTGCGCTGCAGCGGCGGCGCTGGCTCCCGCTCCGGCCGGCCTAACTGCGGCTCTGCTCACCAAGTGATGCCCGCTGGCCAGCGGCTACTTCTCCTCCACCGGCGCGGGCTGGGGCTCGGGAAGAGCCTTGGGCGAGGGCTCCGGCTCCCACAGCAGGAACTCGTGCAGCAGCGTATTGACCGTCTCGGGGCACTCGAGCATCACCATGTGGCTGCCTTCATCGATCAGCTTCAGGAAGGCCAGAAGCAGGATCTGCAGCAAGGGGGATCTCAGGACCACCATGCATGGCCCACAACATCCGAAAGTCCCTCCTGCGGTCTACCCTGTAGTTCCACCCAGCAGGGAGCCAAAGAGTGGCCTGATGGGGCCCAGTCAGGAATTCATTCACTCGGCATTTATTAAGTGCGTATGGCGTTGTTCAGCCTCGGCACAAATGACCTTAGAGCGGGATGCCCAATGCAGTACCCTTGGTCTGGACTCATAGATGACAGTAGCAGTAATAACCCATAACGTGACTTTAAATGTCTCCAGACATTGCCAAATGTCCCTGTGGGCAAAGAGACCGCCCATGAAAATCTGAGACTGACAAGGCAGGGCTTCTTAACCTTGCCCTGCTGACATTTGGGGCTGGGTCATTCTTTGCGATGGGGTGTCCTGTGCGTGGTAGGCTGTGGGGAGCACCTCTAGCTTCCGGCCGCTCCCATCCGGAAATGTCTCCCAGAGGGCCGAACCATCCTTGGTTAAGAATTGCCAGCCCACGACTGGGTGTGTGGTTCAACGGGTAGAGCGCCTGCTTTGCAAGCGTGAAGCCCTGAGTTCAAACCCCAATCCCACCAAAAAAGAAAAAAAGAATTGCTAGTCCAGAGCTATCCCAAGTGCTAAGAACCCGAGATCATTTCTCCGGAGCCACCAATTAAAGGTCCCCCAGCCCCTCTTCTAGAATTGTGCCATGGGTCATTGGTCTCTTCTACAATTCTCAACGTGGGAGTCTTGCATGAGGTGGGGAGGGGGCGTAATTGTTCCAGGGGCGCCCTGCTTTCTAGTTTCTACCTTTGACTCTGAATCTGATGCTCCCACTTCTCTGGGGTCAGGGGTCAGAACGAGGCCACACCCAACAAAAAGCCACATCAGTCTAGAGGCAAACCCTGGCCATAAACCACGCCCTCCCGCACAGGCTACGCCCAGTGGGCTGCACCCTGGAGCTTTGGAGGAGACCCTGGTACCCGCTTCTACCTCCGCCATGCGCTGGTCTTCCTCCACTGGCACAAACTTGTCGTGCATGCCGTGGACAAGCAGGACGGGCACCGTGAGCTCGGCGTGGTAAACTTCGTCGCCCTCCGGCCAGTACTGGCCGCTCATCATGGCCCGCAGCACGAAGGACGAGACGTTGAACGCATTGCCCTCCTTCAGCAGCTGCTTCTCTTTGGCCCCTTGGCGGGCAAAGCCGGCCCTGCAGGGGGGACGCACACCTGGACCTCTTGTGCCAGCCCCAGCCCAGAGGAACAGCCCCACCCCCCAACTTCAGGAGGCGCCAGGGCCAGGACCCCAGGCTAGGGCGCGCACTCACTTGAGGAAGCTCCAGGCCAGGCAGGGCGACAGGCAGTGCAGGACGCACGTGGGCATGCTGAAGATGGAGCAGATGCTGGGCTCCAGCGCCGTGGGGCCCCCGCCGTTGATCATCACCACCTTGTGCACCAACTCGGGGTACTCGTGAGCCAGGAACGTGCAGAAGGAGACGCTGCGGGCGTGCGGGCGGGGAAGAACAGGGAGGTCAGAAGGTAGCCCTCCCCTGCGGGACACAGGCCCTGGAAGTCCAGGACTCCTCCCCCTGCGCCCATGGGCGCCTGGTGGGGCCTTTCAAGACCCAAAATTGTAAGATTGCATGTGGAGGGTGGAATGTTTGGTTTGGTTTGATTTTGGAACAGGCTCCTGCTGTGTGGCTGAGGCTGGCCTCCAACTTGTGATCCTACTGTCTCAGCCTCCCAGTGCCAGGATTACAGGCATACACTACCCAACCCAGCTCCCAGTCCAAGTTTTTTTTTTTGGAGGTACCGGGGTTTGAACTCAGGGCCTCACACACTTCCTAGGCTGGTACTCTACCACTTGAGCCATGCCACCAACTCTTTTTTGTTTGGGTGTTTTTTTGAGACAAGGTCTCAGGAACTATTTCTGCGAGCTGGCTTCCAACTATAATCCTCCTGAGTAGCTAGGATTACAGGCAGGAGCCACTGGCACCTGGCTAGCCCAACTTCTTAAAGTCACCCTGCCTCCCCCATGCGTTGAGAACAATCTTGTTACACAAGCATTCTGGGCCTGGGGATGTGGCTCAGTAGCGATTGCCTGGCATGCCCCAAGCACCACAAGGAAATTAGTAAGTAAACAGAATAGACAAACTCTTACAGCTGCACAGAGGAAGTCACTGTTGCCAGTGTATCCCTTCCCTCTGAGGACATCGCCCACTCTCCTGTAGGCAAAGCCACATCTGCTGCCTAATACAGGGCCCCCAGAGTCCAGCTGCCATTCCCTCTAAACCAGGGTCACCAAGCTGTGACCACTGAGTCACTGTGAGTCGCTGGGCAGGTTGCCTAACCTCTCTGAATGCTGGTCTCCACATGCATGAAGTGTAACTGTGCTGACCTTATAGCATTGTTACAGGGTTGCAGCACTACCACGCAGGGTGCTCATTTTGTTAGAGGAATCATTTTATCAAAAATAAGCTCCAACTTTTGGAGATGTCATCCTATAACAAATAAGAGCTGCCTGGGCAAACAAAACAAAACTTTTTAAAAAGAGCTATGGGATTTGGGGGAGTTGTTTTGCTTTGTTTTTAGCAACACCAGAGTTTGAACTCAGGGCCTCACACTTGCTAGGAGGGGGCTCTACCACTTGGGCCATGTCCCCAGCCCTCCTTTCTTTTTGTCCAAGTTCTGGGCTTGCTGGACAAGTGGCTTGCCACTGAGATACACCACCTGCCACAACACCCAGCTTCTCAACCTTGACAGATTTCCTTTGGATGCTTTTAGAACTTATTTCTTTTTCTTGTCTAATTACATGACCTGAAGTCACTAAAACAGTGATTCCTAAATTGGCTGCCTGAATAATCTGACATTTCCTCAACTGGGAATGACCCTGGCAGCAGTGAGGACCCAGGGGCCCAAAACTCCTCATGACGGGGCACTTGGTAAACGCCAGCTGCACATCTCCCAGGTCAGGGAGGGCGAGCTATGGCAGGCTGTGCCTGTGCAAAAGAACTTGCAGGGTTCCAGACAGCCCTTCCCAACCACACAGGCTCTCCAGAGCAGCCAAGGCTAAGGTGGCTGTTCTGCCTGGGGTACATCTGCTGCCAGATGAAATGTCATCATCAGCAATACACGGTGCTAGTGGCGTCTAGTTGGCGGAGGCCAGGGTGCTGGCCGCTCACAGAACAGAAGCCCAAATGTCAAGAGGACTGGGCTGGAAGAATCAGGGTTTTAAAAACTATGAGTCAAATAGGGAGAATAAAACAGTGTTCTACACAGTGCAGTGACTACAACTCACAATAATATAGATTATTAACAAGAATAAAATTACTAATATATATTTATATACACTTGTTTTTTACCCTGAGACTGGGTTTGAACTCAGGACTTCACACTCACAAAGCAGGCGCTCTGCCACTTGAGCCACTCCTCCAGTCAATTTTGCTCTGGTTATTTTGGAGATGGGGTCTCCAGAACTGTTTGCCCAAGCAGGCCTCAGACCTCAATTCTCCTGATCTCAGCCTCCCAAGTAGCTGGGATTATAGGCGTGAGCCACTGGCACACATATGTTTTTAAGAGGCAGGGTCTCACTATGATGCTGGGACAGGTCTGAGCTCAATAGAGCCTCCTGGCCCAGCCTCTGGAGTGATGCCACCAGGCCCAGCCTGTTTTGTGAATACCCAGGAGAGGAGATGGGAGGTTCCAAACAGGAAGTGATAATAAGGGCACAGAATGTTAATGACCCTGACTTCATCACTACCCACCACATATTTGTATCAATCATACTGCACCTAGAAAATATTGCTACATATTGATCAAATAAATATTAAAGGGCTGGTGGAGAGGCTCAAGTGGCTCAGGTGGCTCTAGTGCCTGCCTAGAAGTGCAAAGCCTTGAGTTCAAACCCCAGTACCAAAAAGAAAGTGGTAATGAGATCCCACCTGTAATCCCAGCACTCAGGAGGCTGAGGCAGGAAAGTCATGAGTACCAGGCCAGCCTGTCTCAAAAAAAAAAAAAAAGAAAGAAAGAATAAAACACTGAGGGATTAGCAATGACAGTGGGAACACTTCTCTGTTTGCAGGTGTTAATAGGAAGATGTTTCTTCGTTGCTAGGGATGTAAGCAAGAGCCACATGGCCTAGGCAAGCACTCTCCCACTGAGCCACCCATCAGCCTAAGGACTTTTTCTTTTTTTTTTTTTTTTTGCAGTACTGGGGTTTGAATTCAGGGCCTACACCTTGAGTCACTCTACTTTTTTGTTATGGGTTTTTTCGAGATAGGGTCTCACGAACATTTTGCCAGGGCTGGCTTCAAACCATGATCATCCTGATCTCTGCCTCCTGAGTAGCTGGGATTGTAGGCGTGAGCCACCGGCACCAGCTCCAAAGACATTTTCAAGGAGGTGTAGTGGGCGTTTTGTGGCGGGATGTCTGGCCCAGGCCAGGGCTTACCCATAGGAGTGCCCAATGAGCACGTTCCGCTTCTTGGCATAGCGCTTGAAGATTGCCCGCATGTCCTCGGCCAGCGCGTAGAAGGTGTAGGCTGCGGCTACCTGGGGCGCAGAGCTGGCCCCGTGGCCCGCCAGGTCAGGTGCCACCACCTCATAGCCTAGGCGCACAAAGAAGTCTAGCTGCTCCTTCCAGATGGCCAGAGAGCCGCCGACACCATGGATGAAAAACAGCACCACGTCGGCCTGCGCGCCCTTGCAGCTAGTGATGCGCTTCTCGCAGTCAATGTGGATGGTCCTCTTGGGGCGCCGCACTCGCCGCCGCCGCCCGCCACTGCCACTGCCACTGCCCGCACTGCCCGGGTTCGGGCGGCCATCGCTGCCCGCCGGATCGGCCAGCTCCACCTCCAGCGCGGCCGGCGGCTCCCCGGAGCCATTCTGCCCATGCAGGAGGTCAGCTCTCGGCGCCCGGCCCAGGTTCTCTACGAGCAACCTCCCGTTGCGGTACACAGTGATCCGGCGCTGGCAGCGGACCAAGCCGGATCTGTCCCCCTGGGCGGCCTCCGGAGGCGACTGTGGACGTGGGGCGGGGGCAGGGGTGGGTCCTGCGTGTTTCACCCGCAGCACGCGGCCAGGCTTGACCTCCACGAAGGTGTAGCCATCACTGGACTCCACGCTCTCCAGAGGCCCCACGGCGTTGGCTGGCGCGCCCAGCAGGCAACAGAAGAAACCGTCCGTCACCCCGGTCAGCATGGTGTGTCCTGTGAGCGGGGGCAGAGGCCAGCTCAGGAATAATGGAAAGGCAGGCCCTCCATCCCGCGTCACCAGCTCCCTGCACCTGAGTCGGGTAAGCCAGACTGGAGTCCCTTCCAAGCTCCAGTGGCCAGCCAGCCAGGGCACTACGGATGTTTTCTCCAGGCAGGGCCTAGGTAGGGTTCATGCCATGGGGTGTCCACAGGGAAGGTGGTGGAGTCAGGAATAGGGGTCTTCCTGGAGGAAGGAACAGTGTGTCAAATGTGGCCCAGGCCTGAGGACAGCTGAGTTTATATAGTTAGAGCGGCCAGCCTGTGCGTTCATGAGCTCACATCTCCCCAGGCCTAAGGCACTTTAAAGGGTGCAAGTCCCCAACCTCAGGCTGAAAGATGAGGCTCTGAGAAAGGGGGTGAGAGACTGGGCCTCAGAAGGCCTCACCCAGCTCCCCAAGAGTGGCGTGAGCTTAGCCCATTTCATAGAGAGGCAAGCTTTGGCCCTGTGCACCCCAGCTCAGCATCCTGGGTGCTGGGGTCTGTCACACAAGCCCCCAGTGGTAGGGAGGAGGATGAAGCCAGGCCCTAGTTGGGGGCCTCCGGGCCTCCTCTCCGTTTCCTGGGCCGCCCCCCTGTATCCATGGCAACCACGGGCGGTTACATAACTCAAGGGGATACCCGCGCTGCGCACCCCCATTGTCTCAGGCCTGGACACTGGACCAGCCTCGCTCTCCCTCCCCAGCCCGGGCGTCCTGGGGTAATGCACGCTAAAGACCCCGCCCGGAAGGTCCAGAAACCTGTCGGAGAAGCAGGCGGGAGCCCCCGCCTCGAGTGCGGCCCTAACCCAGATCAGGGAGGGCGGATCAAATGCGCCAACCTCTCTTCCCACAGCCCGAGCCCCGTCTCCCGCGCCAGGGATCCCTGCGGCGAGGCCGAGGCCACTGGGGCTCCGTGGCTACCTAGGAGCCCGAACGCGGGCTCTGCGGGCACCCCCCTCCCAGGTGGAGGCCCGGGTGCCTCGATGCCCCGCTCCCGCACACCCACCTCATCCAGGGCCCCGGGACCCGGGGCAGGGCGCGGGGGTCCCGGGCGGAGAAGCCAGCGTCTGCCTGCGGGCGCCGCTTACATGGTGGCGCGGGGTCGGGCCGGGCTCGTCTACGCCGGCGAGCGCGGGCCCCGGGCGTCAGCGCAGGGGCATCCCGCGGCCACCGGACTAGCCGGCCCTTTAAGCCCCTCCCAGGGAGGGCGTGGCCGAGAGCCGACAGGCGGGCACCTTGGCCTATCGCCGCTGCGAACTGACCTGGCCTACATAGATGTCCAATCAGAGACTGCACTTCAGGAATAGGGGCGGGCTCTGAGGGCATCAGCCCCGCCCCTCTCACCGGTTTACGGAGAAGTGGGGAGGGATTGGGCCTGGCCCAGGGACTGAAAGGTGTTGCAGCCTGCCGTCTGCGGGAGTCCTGGAAGGGACAGCCAGGCCCCTTCGCTGAGAATGGGTCTCCCCGGTCAACCCCTGCCTCCGAACTAACCTGTCCCCTCTAATCGGAGTCCTCATGCCCCTGTCTCCGTTGACCTTTCATTGTAGAAACGGAGACCCCCAAGTCTTGACGATTTCAGGTGGGAAGACTGCAGCTCACAAAGTTCACAAGTCAGGCATGAGGAAAGGCTGGTATTTGACCCCCCGGGTGTGCGATTCCAAGTCTTGGGAATCGTGATTTAAACGGAACTCTTGGAGCTGGGGATAAGTAGGGAACTGGAATTTCACAAGCAGCCAGTTTAACGAATGACCACACCTCCTCTAGTGCTGGTATGCCCCCAGGAGGGCCTGGAATCAGACAGCCAGGGCCCAAATCCAACCTCTGCCCATTTGCTGATGTGTGACCTTGGACAAGTCACTTCCTGAGCCTTCATTTACTTCCGCATGCTTTTCCCCTCATGAGTTTGCTATGCAGGTAAAATCTCCATGCCATTCCTTTCGCACACAGTAAGAGCTCATTCATGACGGTGTTGTCATGGTGGTTTGCTGACTGCTAAGAGGGCTTCAGAAGACAGGGGTTAACTGCTCCTTGCTGCCCATTCTCATCCCTTGGAATTTGCTGCCAGAGCTGGATTAGATCCAACCGCCCACACTTGCCCACTCAGGGCGCTCCTGGGAGACTATACAGATTATTCATTTTATTCGTTCAGCAAAGGGTTCTCACAGCTCCCTCTGTGCCCACCCCAAGCAAGGATATACTGGAGGCACTTGCAGGGATTCAGCCCCAGACCTGGCCCTTGGGGACCCCTGAGCTGTGGGAAGTGTCAAGGGAAATCAGTAGGTGAAGGTTGGTCCACGGAGACGGACCAAACCTGAAGGGTTGGAAGGAGAGGATTTGAAAGGGTGGATAGAGACCAGGTAGAGAAGGGTGTGGCTGAAATTTAGGATGTGCATAGGTGGAAGGCTTTAAATAGGAGCTGGAGGAACTGGGTATTTTCCTTGGGGCAATGGGGAGCAAAGGGGGGTGTATGAGCAGGAGAAGGTTCAGACATGACTACCAGAAAAATTCCTGGTGGGGCATCAGTGGCTCACACCTGTAATCCTAGCTACTCAGGAGGCAGAGATCAAGAGGGTTCGAAGCCAGCCCGAGGAAATAGTTCTTGAGACCCTATCTCCAACCCAACACAAAAAAGGACTGGCAGAGTGGCTCAAGTGCTAGAGCACCTGCCTAGCAAGTGTGAGGCCCTGAGTTCAAATCCCAGTACAGCCAAAGAAAAGAAAAAGAAAATGTCCTCTAGATCCGACTGGAGGATAAAATAGCCAAGGCCGAATCTGCCATCCACGAGTTTTACAGATTGAGAAACTCAAGCCAAGAGAGGAGCTGGGACCACCTCAAGGAGACTCAATGTGCTCGAACTAAGGCCTCCTGGGCTCCCCGCCAAGGGGAGGTCACTGGGCTGCAGCCACAGAAAAGCTGCCAGCCAGCTGGGTGCCATCTGCCGGTCTCCCCCTGGGGGATGAGAAGGCCAAGCAGCCGCTTCCAGTGGCTGCCACCAGCTGCGCCGCTGTCTCGCGGGGGCACCCTCTGCGGGTGGCCAGGAAGACTACAACTCCCAGCTGACCCGGGACATAATGTCCTGTACGCACGCGCAGAGGGAGGACGCGCCATGCTCCCGTCACCTACTGGTCGACAGGGAGAACTACACGCCCGGCAGGCTTGGTGTGCACGGAGAACGCAGCCCCTGGAGTCTCCAGGCCACGTGAGCTCAGCCGTAGGAGAAACTACATTTCCCAAAAGCCTTTGTCCCGGAGCGGTAGAGCCACGGAATCGGCGGCGGGGAACCGCGTGACCGGCAGCTGGACATGACTTTCAAGGCCGGATCCCTGTTGGGGCCCTTCGGTAGATCGGCGGCGCTGTTGGGGGGCAGGTGAGTCCTCAGGGGGACCCTTCTCCAAATCTGGGGATGAGGGCGGTGTCCAGGGCTGGCCCCAAAGACCTGCGATGCCTGGCGCACTGGGACCTCCCGCCTCTGCTCCACAGGTGGCTGCAGCCCCGGCTCTGGCTGGGGCTCCCGGACGCCTGCGGCCTCGGCGCTCCGCAGCAGGCCCGCGGCAAGGCCCGCGGGAACGAGTACCAGCCGAGCAACGTGAAGCGCAAGCACAAGCACGGCTGGGTCCGGCGCCTGAGCACGGCGGCCGGCGTCCAGGTCGTCCTGCGCCGCATGCTCAAGGGCCGCAAGTCCCTGACCCACTGAGCTGCGACCCTCGCCCGGCTCGTCGTGCTGGTGCGGGGAGCTGGGGAGCACCCCGAAGTGTGCAGAAGTTCGGGGGGGACCGCAAGGGGCAGCAACGCCTCTTAGGCTGTGGACACACGCAGTGGTCCCCCCGTCCCTCGCGCGTGCTGACCTCCTCCCGGGCTATTTTCAAGCAGAAGTCAGGCATCACGTTATTTCTTCTGTGAATGTTTCAAAAATGCATCGCTCCAAGATAAGGGCTCTTTAAAACAGTCACAAGACATCATCCTCCAACGTGAATAATTTGCAAGTAACAGTAAGCGTCTAATAAATGTCCAAATGTCCACTTATATTACGTGTCCTAACTTGCAGGTCTGGGAAGGTGGTGGGAAGGCAGGGCTCTCAGATTCTCTACCTGCCCTTGCAGGCAGCTGGGGGACCTTGGGTGAGGTTCATTTCTTCCTAGTGTTAGGTTGAACATAAGGACTGCCATGTTAGGGCCATACCCCCTCCCCCTCCCGGGCAGCTTACTGGGACCACCCACCATGTACTGGAAAAAACTCACCTGGCCCTAAAGAATGATAGAAACCCACCTTACGCCATTGTCACCAGGGGCAAGAGTCTGTTGAACAACCAACTGACTAATCACCACTTATCTCCCTTACTACCCCAGCAACAAGCCCATCACAAGTTTTCCAGGCACTTTCTCCTCACCCTCCTGCATGTGCCCCCAGTCTGGAAGCGCTGTGGGCTCCAGCTCTCTTGCTGGAGACCCCCTCCGCAGTTTCCTCCTCCCAATAAAGCCTGTGCTGACGCTGAGCCGTCTCCCGCCTATCCTTCCATGCCTTTTTCCAGTCTAGTATGTGGTGCCGAAAGCTGGGAGGGGTTTGTAGGCTCGACTCCCAGCTCTTCGCTCTTGCAACCTGAGTCGTCCTCTCCTGTCCCCTTTTCATCATTCCATCTGTCCCACCCTTTCCGTCCTCTCCTTTCCTTGATAGCTCCGACAGGGACCACACCCCATCACTGGACCCTACATTCAACACTGGTCTTCAATTTGGGTGAGTTTTCCCCTTTTCCGGGTTTCTCTCATACTGCCTGTCAGAGTCCAGGACTCTCTCTGAAGCCCTGGCCAAGCGAGAGATTCCCTCCGTCCACCAAGTAGGTGGACTCAAGCTGATAATTTCTGAGGACACAGAAAAAATCCAGGTGCCCTGCCCCAGAGGCATAGATAGCATCTAGTCCTCTGATGCATCCATCTGTCTTACCAGGTAGGACCACTGTAGGGATTATCATCGCCTTTTCCACAAAAATGGGCCAGAAATCGTCCAAGCCTGCAAGGGAGAGGGGGGTATGACCCTAACATGGCGGTCCTTATGTTCACCCTAACACCCGCTGTGCTGCTGTTGGAATAATGCTTGGTTGCGTCCAATCATCGAGCACTTGCTGTGTACTTGGGGACCCATCCCTGATCTGCGGCGACCTCCGTCTGGCAGGGAAAGTGGATTCGTACCCAGATTCGGGCTGAGAGGGGGATTGTGAGGGCTCCCGACTTGACCATGACAAGAATGCAGTCAAGGTGGGCTTCCTTGAGGAAGAGGCAGGGTCTGGGAGGAGAGATTGGGTAGGATTACATGGGGAGCTGGAGGGGCCTGGAGGTGGGACTGGATCCTGGGGCAGTAGGGGACCACAGAGGCCTTTGAACAAGAGTCTGCCTTGCCTGCTCAAATCAATTCAAGCGACTACTGCGGGAGCTATATAGGTATGCCGAAACCCAAAGGAAACGTTGAGGAACAAGCTGGGAGTACAGCTTCCAGGACTGCTGTGAGAACCTCATGTGGAAAAGAGCAATAACCCTAGTAAGAGGAGAGCCCTGCGGAACCTCTGGGAGTTGTGAACTACAACTCCCAAGAGATTTTGCGAGAGCGGCCTCCGCCCACTTCCGGATCTCACTTCCATCTCTTCCAAGTCCCGGGCGGGGGTTTTGCTATTTCAACCGAACTTGACTATGAAGGGAGGAGGCGTGGCGACCAATGGAAGTGTGGGTTTTCCGGCCCTGGCCAATGGGAACAAAGAGAGGCTCTATACCTTGGGGGTGGGGCTACATTGCGGACCAATGACGGAGGGCGATGGCGCCATCAGTGTGAGCTGTGCGGTGGCTGGAAGTTACTGTGCGGCGGCGGCTAAGAAGGAGGCTGTGGTGGCGGCGGCTGCGGCGGCGGCGGCGGCGGCTGCGGCTGAGGAGGCAACGGAGGAAACAGAAGATGGTGAGGCTGGCCGCTGGGCCCGTGTTCCCCTTCCAGTAGACAAAATGGGCCACCCATCTCTAGTGTCCCCCGAGGCCCCTCACCGCCCTGCCCGAACCCTCCACCCCGGCCCCGCCCCTCGCACTGACCTGTAACCTTCGACCTCCCCAGACCCTGCACTGAGCTTCCTGCAGGCCCTGCCCGAGCTCCTGCGACCCCTGACCCAATGTAGGCTTTCCAGGCCCTGACAACTCATTCATTTCCGGGTCGCGACTCCCCCCGGAAATCGCCTGGGGTGGGCAGGGGTCCCCCGAGACCCCTAGCTCTGGCCTCGTCCTGGGCGCAGCGGGCCTGGACTCGTCCAGTTAGGAGGATGCGGGAGGCCGGGCGGGGCGGGGGAGGGGGGCTTGACACCGCGACATGCGGGGCTTTGTCGCCAAAGGAAGTGCGACATCGCCGATCGCGGCGATCCCCCAGGGCCCCGGCCCCTCCCCACGCCCGGGCTCCCCTTGTCCCTCGGAGGGGACCCGCTCATTCCTCTCATCCCCAGGGCCTACCTGGTAAATGAGCGCGACAGCTTAGCGGACGGGGCCCTGCGTGCTCAGGACAGTGACCGCTCCGCAGATGGAACTGCTCTGGGGCGGTGACAGCCTCTCCTGGCTGCCCCTGATCTGAGGGGGGCAGTCCACAAGCATTTGGGAGGCTCACATCCCCTCTGGGGCTTGCCCAGTGGTTCTTGGGGTTTGGTCCCCCACCTGTAAAGTGGGGTGTGATCCAGCCCCAGGGTGGATCCAAGGTCCCTCTCCATCCTCACTCATTGGCGTCCCCACAGCTGGCAGGGTTACAGGAGGTTGGATCAAGACGAATTCAGGCCCATGCCCCTACCTAGACTCTCAACCCACAACCACAGTCCTGGGGATGCGGTAGGGATGGTGAAGGAAGACTTCCCATATGAAGGAAGTGGGGAGTTGTGGGCCTGGTGTGCGAATTCCAAACCTGGATGGTACCCTTGGTTCATCCACCAGTCCCCACCCTGGGCCAGGTACTGTCACCTCACACCTGGATGCCTGCCCCAGCCTTCTCCCTGGTCCCCTCAAGCCCACCGTTTTGGCCATCCTGAACTCATTCCCAATCAGGAGTTTTCAAAGATACAAACCAGATGTTACCACTTTCTAATTTATAACACCCCCACACACACACTTCCTGTTGTGACCTATTGTGACCCAGTGCCTGCCCTCAACCCCCAAGGCTCCTGCTCTCCTCTGTGACCTCATCTCCCCTCTTCAAACCTTCCCTTTGAGAGCTCCAGCCACACTGGCTTTTGCTTCCTCATGCTTCAAGTTTCTGCCACCCCAGGGCCTTGGCACTCACTATTTCTTCAGCCTCAGTGCTCTTCCTCCTGTAAGCAAGCATCATGCTTCAGACTTAGGGAGGCCCTATTTCTTCTCATCCAGCTCTGTGGGTCACCAGTGAGCTGCCCCTACAGGGATGGGGACACAGGTCTTCTGTTTGCTAAGGTGATAAATAGCTAAGGGCTGGCCTAGCTGAGATTGGGGTTTTTTCCCTGTGCCTTGAGGCCTTGTTTTCCATCCTAGCTGACAGGAAGTGGGGCCCACACATATTCAGCACAAACACGTTGATACTGTCCGCTGACCTAGAGGTCTGAGGTCACTCGCCCCAGGTAACTCAGCCTGCAGGGGCCAAGCTGGGATTAGGTGCAGGAGTCTGAGGCTCTGTGTCTCTCAGTACTCCACTACGTGAGCCCCTGTGAGCCCTGCCGGAGCCTAGAGTTGTCAGCCAGGCCCTTCCTTACACCCTTGGGGAGGTGCCAGTCCAGCAAGGGAGGGGGGATGGAAACAGATGACCTCGTGGAGTGTGAGCCCCTCAAGGAGAGGCTCCCAGGGTGTGGGGACAGTCAAGGGGTGGGAGTGGTTTGATCTAGTGGGGAGGTTGGCGGGTGTGTCCTACATGGACAGAGTGGTGATAGGGAATTGAGCTGGGCCAGGGCTGTGCAGGGACCTGAGCAGAGCAGGGTCATGCATCACTGCCTCTGTCAGGCCCCCAGACCAGCCAGACCTCTGCCCTGCAATGTCCTGGGCCTCACATGGTGCCCTAAGGCACCATGACCTCATAGCCACTTCCCATGTGCTGTGCAGGTTTCTGATCCCTACCTGTGGCTCACCCCAGGGCCTTGTGCCCAGCCCAAGCCTGTTGCATGGTAGGAGCCAAAGGCAGCCTGCAGAGTGGGCAAAGCTGGCCTCATAGGCTCCTGGGCAAGGAGGACGCCTGTGTGAGGGTCAGCTCCCGGGTGGGAGGTGGAGGCTGGTGGCCACATTCTAGCTCCCCAGGTTGACCCAGGTTGCCACGGTCTCTCTGGGGCCAGCAGAGATGGGGCTAGCCCTGGGGGAGGTGGGACTCCCTTGTTCTTTCCCTCTCCAAAGGGTGGCAGAGGCTCTCTGGGGCCTCAGGGACAGAATGGACTACCCAAGGGTTGCAGACCTGCCTGTAGCCCACAGGTATCCAAGTGTTCTACTTCCAGGCACACCACACCACAGCAAGAGCTTAGTCTCTGAGGTTGGGCAATCCTGGCAACCGGTGACCACAGATGAGTCAGAGCTGGCCTCTCTGCTTCATCTCCTGTCTTTATGATGGGGGCCATCAGTCTGTCTGACTGACTCGAGGTCACACATGGTGATGTCATCCTTTGTAAGCTCCTAGCTCAGGGTGGCACATGTGGGGGCCCCACATTGGATGCAGCCGTTGCCCACTGTCCCACCCTAGGCCTGACCAGCAGGGCCAGATCAAAAAAGGACTTTGAAAGACTGAAAGGATTCTGTATACGGCCCCCCTAGAGCCATGGGGGCTTTGAACTCAGCAGGCCAGGCTCTGGCCGAGGTGTGTGACAGCAGGGACAGGATAGCAAGGTGGGGTGCGGCTCCATGGCCAGAGCACACATAAGGCCCTGGGTCCATCCCCAAACTGTAGGACAAACCCAAAAGACAACAGAGACAACGTTCAAACTCAAATTTCTGGGTTTCTTGGCTGTCAGAAGCTTGGGCCCCCTGGGCCGTTTCTGATGTGCAGCACATCAGACCCCTACCTACTGTCATGTGAGCCCACAGGGCTCAGGATGAACAGATGCTTGTCTCCTGGGTCTCGGTCAAAGGTGGGTCAGTGGGAGCAAGGCTGGAGGCTCTGTCCTAATGTAACTACAAGCCCAGCAAAGGCACCCCTTGTTGTGGGCTGGTGGGGGCCCAGGTATGACTGTCCCTGCCATTTACTTGCTGCAGTCTGGCATTAAACAGTCTTCTGTTGTGTCTGAGCCTGTTTCCCCACCTTGTGCTTGGTTACGGGATGCCTTCTGAAAAGCAGCAGTCTACTTCCACAGCTGCTCTGGGGAGGACCCAGCAGCTGTGTCACCTGCCCTCTCACTTTCTTTCTTCCCTATCTTCCAGGCAGATTTTTTGAAAGGATTGCCTGTCTACAACAAAAGCAATTTTAGCCGATTTCATGCCGACTCAGTGTGCAAAGCTTCGGTGAGTGTGTATTCTTGGGCCTGGGGCTCTCAGGGAGGTGCCAGGGTCTGGGGTGGCATTGGGGGATCTGAGGCCAATGTGCAGGGCCAGCTCCACCCTGTATCCTTGAGTATCTTTTGATCTTTGTTACAGGGTGGGTGAGGGAACCCCGGGCCCACTCACTCCTAACCCTCCTTTTCTTACCCTGCCACAGAACCGACGCCCCTCAGTCTACCTGCCCACTAGGGAGTACCCATCTGAGCAGAGTAAGTATGACTGTGGGTTTGTCTGTCCTGGCTGCTGCAGGCCTAGACTAAAGGCCAGACTTGGCTTTGAGATAGGGCTCCTTGTCCAGAGCCAGGCGCAGAAAGCCCCAAAGGAGGCACAGAAATTGGTCATGGGGGTCTGGGCTGGGGTGCACATGGGGCACCACCCTTCCTGCCCTGGGAGCGGCAGGAAGCTTGGCTCTCAGAATGCCTCCAAATTCCCACACCCTGCCACCCACCACTATCCTGAGTGGCCTAAGTCTGCCCATCACTGCCCCTCTCCCTCAAGCCAGATTGGTGTGCCCTGCCAGCTCTGTGTCACAGGCATGTAGAGAACTCAGACCCCAAGAGCAGGACCATCATGCAGATCTGGGAGTTGGGAGGGTCCTGACCGAGGGCCTGCAGAGTAGTAAAAGGTGGTTGTCGTGGTTTAATGTACCGATTAAAAAGAAACAATCCTTCCAGGCAAGGTGACACCCATGAACCCAGCACTTGGGAGGCAGAAGTGCAAGGAACTCAAGTTCCAGGCCAGCCTAGGCTACAGATCAAGACCCTGTCTCAAAAAAAGCATCCATTCAGGGCTGAGGTGCAGGTGCGGCTTGGTGGCAGAGCTTTTGCCTACCTTGCTTGAGGCCCAGCCATCCTGGGCCCTCCAGGTTGAGGCTTTTTGGTGACTGCACTTGTGCCCCTGGTCTGCCTGGGAAGACATACACATTGATCTGCCCCCTCCCCAAGCCATCCCCTTGTAGTTCACCCACGGGAAGAAAGGGTCTGCAGAGCAGCCGGCCCGGCTGGTAGCTATGTGCTTGGAACCGGGAACACTGGGCGTTCTGAACCTTCCTCTTGAGGGTGGGGTGCTGCCTGTGAGTCCCAGAAAAACCCCCAGGCTGAGGCTGGCCAGAGACCAGGGAGGGACAAGTGGTACCATCTGGGGACGGGCTTCTGCAGTGTCTCTGTCTTTCCTCCTCAGTCATCGTGACGGAAAAGACAAACATCCTCCTGCGCTACCTACACCAGCAGTGGGACAAAAAGGTAAGGGTGAGGGGAGACCCGGCTCCCATCAGGGTGTCTGACTGAGGAAGGACATGAGGAGCTGGGTGCTGGGCTTTTGAGTGGGTGTTAAGGGCTCAGTGGGGGTTTGCTGGGCAGTCCGGCAGAGGGAAGCATATTTCAGTGGAGAGAACAACTTGGAGTCACCGTGGAGTTCTGGTGGCTGGAAGCCTGGAGGATCCCAGGGCCTTGCACATGCTGGGCAGGCCATCTACCACTGAGCTGAAACTCCAGGCAGCCGGGCGCTGTGGCTCACGCTTGTAATCCCAGCTACTCAGGAGGCAGAGAGCAGGAGAATTGCAGTTTGAAGCCAGCCCAGGCAAATAGTTCTCGAGACCCTATCTCCAAAAAAGCCCATTACAAATAAGGGCTGGCAGAATGGCTCAAGTGGTAGGGCACCTGCCTAGCAAGCAGGAGGCTCTGAGTTCAAACTCCAATACTGCCAAAAAAAAAAAAATATATATATATATATATAAATCCAGTTGGAGCAAGGTACAGTGGCTCATGTCTATAATCCTAGCTATTTGGAGGCTGAGATTGGGAGGATCGTAGTTTGAGGCCAGCTCAGGCAAGTAGTTTGCGAGACCCCCCTCTCCAAAATAACCAGAGCAAAATGGACCAGAGGTGTAGCTCGAACGGCACTGTGCCTGCTTTGCAAGTGTGAAGCCCTGAGTTCAAACCACAGTCCCACCACCACCACTAATGACATCAAAAAAATCAAGCCAGTGTGGGTCCATGCCTGTAATGCCAGCACGTGGAGGCAGAGACAGGTTCAGGAGTTCCAGGCCAGTCTGGACTCCATATGAGACCCTGTTGCAAAAACAAACACATAATCCAGCCGTACAGCTTCCCCTCCTTCCGTGGAGATGGCGGCGTGCCCAGGAGCCCGAGGTGTCCTGCCTCAGCCAGGTGGATGGCTCCTCTGGATTTTTGAGAAACAGGCCATGTGCCTGCCACTGGGAGCCATGGTAGATCCCTGCTTACTGTTCGGGGAAGCAAGGAACACTCCGGACAAGGGTTGGTTGGGCAGGCCCTGCTGATGGGAAGGGTTGCTGGGCCAGGGGCCCTGGCTCCAAGATGCCACCACCTGGCTGGCAACAGGACTCGGAGCTCAGCCCAGGAAAGGCTCACAGGTCTGTCCTTCCCCGCCCCAGAATGCTGCCAAGAAGAGAGACCAGGAGCAGGTGGACGGGGAAGGGGAGAGCTCAGCACCCCCCCGCAAGGTGGCACGGACCGACAGCCCGGACATGCACGAGGATACCTAGGACTCCCACTCCCCACCGGCGCCTCCTGTGCCAGCTCCTCCGTCACCCACCCACCTGCCCTCCATGTGTAAGCGCCCCCCCACCTCCCCACAGTCCCCACACCCCACCATCCACACCATGTCCAACCTCATAGGAGCCGATGTATTTATTTCCCTTGAGTTTTTATTTATGCTGTAACATGTATCAAGCGTTGGTTAAAGGGGATGTCAGACCCTCATTGTGATGTCAGTAGATGGTTTTTAAAAACACAATTGATCTTGAACCTCCCCCTGCCCAGGTCCCTATCCCGAGAACAGAAGTGTGTCCTCAAGGGTCCAGGGTCAGGGGTCCTGCTGTGGCAGGGTGGCAGAGGTGGGGCCTGGCCAGGTGGCCTCGGCCTTCCTGAACAACTGAATGGCCTCCCTACCACCAATTGGTCCGGTCCTCGGAGACTCGGCCTAATCTTGAGGTACTCCGAGATGTACTCCACACCCAGGGCCTCACTCTAAAAGGGGCAGGGGAGACGCCAACCCTTCTGGATCTTTCTCTTAAGTCATTTTATCATGGACTAGTGCGTGCTCCGTGTCCACCCCAATAAAGGATCTTTCCTACTTGACCTCGCGTCTTTGCTCCACACGCCTTGGCCCCAGAGGACGGAGCACCTGAGAGTTCTCCTGGCATCACCAAGAGGGACGGAAAGGGGCCCCTCGTGCTGGGGCCCCGGGAACAGCTGGATTCTTTGCTGAGCCTGCTGCAGCCATCACACTCAAAGCCAAGACCTGCGAGGACCGGCCCTCTGCCTCACTCATCCAGGTCATCCCTGAGAGACGGTCTGTAGTGCTGAGGATGGAGCTGGATCACACTCAGAGCACCAAGCAGGGGCAGTGACAGCAGACGTGGTGTTTGACAGGAGAGGCCAGCTCAGTTGGTCTGGCCTCACACAACGTTGCTTAGATAAGAGCCAGACCTACTGTCAGCATCTGTCAGTCTGTGCTAGTCTGTGTCCCACGCCACTCGAAAGGGCTCAATGTGAGGCTGAGCTCAGGATGGAGGGGCCAGTTTGGGCTCTGGACAGACGGCCGTGACGACTGGGCTGGGGGTACGGCAACCCCCCCCCCCGCCCCAGCCCCTAGTGGAGGTCATGGTTTTGAGAGCTGAGTGTTAGGGGTGTCGGGAGTGAGCAATGGGGCATAGATGGAGGAAGGTGACTGGGAGGGTTACGTACCCCAGATCATCGATGGGGACCCTGCCTTAGCTGCCCTGCTCCCTGGGGCAGGTGGTGCTAGGTTGGCTGAATGCCTGAACCAGCCCTGGGCCTATGTAGTGGACTGAGGCCCCTGTAGTCACAGGAGGCAATGCAGGTGACCTTGTTCTTGTGTCAAGGTGTGGGGTGGGCTGAGCTCTAGACACGTAAGGAGTCTGCAGCCCCTGGGTTTGGTAAATCCTGGGCAGACGCATGTACCACTGCATGGTGGCAGACAGTGGGACCTCAAAGGTCAGGAGCAGAGTGGGAGCAGGTAAGCCCTGGGTTCACCCAGGCCTGTCCACTTCCCCCTAGAGGGGCTGGGTCCATCCTGCTCTCTGGCTCTGGTGGATCATGCCCACCAGGCCTCCTGGTGGTCTCCCCCAGGACTCATGGGTCTGTGTGCCCTGCCCCTGTGCATACACCCTCTGGTGGCCTGTGGTTCTCAGGCCTGTAAGCCAACCTCTGCCCCACTCCAGCATTGGGCCCCCCTTGCCCACTGTCCCTCAGAGCCTTCACACAGGCTGCCCACTGGCCTCCAACAGGCCCCTAAGTACCCCTTGCTGAAACTGGCATCCCCAGCTGGGGGGGAGTGGGGGGAACAGGACACACTCCTCTTCCACATGAACTTGATGGTCTGACCCGCTGTGTTCCTGTCCCCATGTTGTTACCTCAAAAAGTCCCAATAATTTGTGTCTGCCATCCGTGATGGGACGTCTATCCCTGTCCTGGGCACCGCTCCCAACCATCCTCTTGATGTGGGGCTCAGGTGCCAGGTGCCTTCCAGTGTTGACACCCCGTACCCTTCCCACCTGTCTGGCTTCCCAGGTGCCAGCCCAGGAGGCGGTGTGCCAGAAAGTTCCACCTCTTCTACACTACTCGCCCTATGCAGCTGAGGACTGTCCTGTCCTGTCCCCATCACCCTCTTCACTTCTGAGTCCTTTCAGCATTCAGATTTCTCCCTCCGTCTACTAGGGGGCTGAAGCCAGGCCTCAGGCCCCACAGCTCCTCCAGAGCAAGTCGGTCCCCCAGATTCGGGACTTTAACATCTGTGGCCCTAAGACCCAATTCCTGAGAGGAGGCCCCTAAGGGTACAGCCTGTGGCAGAACCATTCCAGGCCCCCAGACACCCTGATCCATTGCTCTGACTTCCACACTGTTGAAATATACTTTTTATTGCATTTCTGCCGTTTTACAAAAATATGACAAAATAAATTAAAAAGAAATAAATAATCGCCTATTCTGTGTTTTCTATTGGTTTTGGGGGTTCCTTTCTTTCCCCCTCTCCTGGGGGAGAGGAAAACGGCAGATAGCGGGGTGCGCCCTCCCTGCGAGGGGCACCAATACTGGGGCTGTGGAGGGCGAAGCGCGCGTCCAGGCACCGCCCTGTTTAGTGACTGTATTGCATGTGGCGGGAGGCAGGGTGGGCGCTGCTAGTGCCAGCCACTGGGCCAGCACACGGCCTGGGGGCTGGGGCTGGGCGAGGGCGCAGGGGGCTCGGGGTCGGGCGGCGGGGGTGGGAGGCTGTAGAAGCTGGCGTCCCCCGGCAAGAGCTGGGGAGCGGGCGGGGGCCCGGCCAGGGCACAGGGCGGACACTCGGCGGCCGGTGGGGCCTGGCGGAGGGCGGCGCCCTCGCCCCCGCAGCCCCACGGCGCGTCCCACTGCCAGCAGCCGGCGGGTGGCGTCGGGGGCCGGGGCAGCGGCCTGGACTGCGGCGGCACAGGGCTCCGGCTGCGGCGGGTGCGGAGGGCAGGGGCGCCCACGGGGGCCAGCGCTGTCCCTGCGGAGGCGAGAGGGGCCGTTCCGGGGGCATGCCGCCCCTGCTGGACCCTCGCGGGGCTGGACTCCCTACGCCCCCTCCCAGGCACGTGAAAGGCCTTATTGCTTCTGATCAGAGAAGGGGGACAGCACCCCTGGGCGTCTGGGGCATGTCCCCTGCCTGTGGGCACTGGCCCCTCTCAGGCACAGGGGAGTCAGAAGAAGTCCTTCTGGCTTCTAACCTATGTCCCTGGTACTGCAGCAGCCCCCAGGGGCTCCCTGGGGGACAGGACTGCTGAACCCCAGGCTGGGGTTGGGGAGGGCAAGGTGGTAGGGGCGCCTGACTCAGCACAGATGTGGGTGCAGCTCGTAGCTGAGCCCCTGGATGGGCAGTCACAGCCCCCACCTCCAAAGGAAGGCCTCCCTGGACAGCTGGGCTGCTGCGGATTTGCATAGAGGCCTGGGGGGCGCAGGCCCCCCAGAGTGAGCTAGGTGTTGGGCAGAAGGGTGGGCAGGGGCGGAGGGGCTTCCCTCATCTGTCCTGGCACCGGAGCGGGGCGGGAGGGGCACTGGAGCAGGGGGCTTTGGATCCCTCCCTGGGGGCGAGAAGGGTCAGGCACGAGGCTCTCCAGGGTCCCAGTGACCCAGGTCCCCAACCAGTACCAGTGACGGGCCTCCTCTGCGCCTCTCAGCCCCTCTCTCCCTAACATCCCCTTCCGCCCGCCCCCTGCCCCCAAGCAGGGTCCGGCGTCCCCACCCCCGAGTTAAAGCTTGTGACCTGAGCCTTCCTCTTCGGCCCGGGGGGCGTCCAGCTCCTCCGCCGAGGCCTCATCCGCAGGCCCGCTCCTGAGGGCCCGGGCGCCGGGGGTCCCGTCGGGCCGCGCCTGTCCGCCCGCCCCGTTGGCTGCGTCCGCGCGCGGCCCGAAGGGGAAGAGCTTGCCCGCGTGGAAGGCCTTGGGCGGGGAGTGGCTGCGCTCGGGCTCCCGCCGCGCCTCGGGCGACTTGAGGAACTTGAAGCTGAGGAAAGCGGGCAGGCGCGTGTCGCCGCCCGTGGGTGACTGCGCGGGGGCCGGACGCGCCGCAGCGCCAGCCCCGGTGCCGGCCAGCGAGGCCGCGGTCCCGGAGGACAGGAACTTGCCCTGCAGCGGGATGATCTGCTTCAGCTTCATGACGTTGTTGGGCGTCAGCAGCGAGCCGGGGCGCTTGGGCCGTTCTGGTCCCTGGCCGGCCGCCGCGCCGCCCTTGGCCTTGGCCGAGGTCTTCTCGGAGGCGGCGTCCGGCCCCGCACCCTCGGCCCGCGCCTCCTCCCGGCCGGCGTCGCGCTCCCGCCGCGCGTGGTGCTCCGCGTGGCGCTGCCGCTCCTCCTCCTCCCGCCGGCGCCGCTGCTGCTGCTGGTAGTGGTGCTGGGCCTGGCGCTCGTGTCTCTGCGGGGAGCGAGCCGTCAGGGACCGGGATCCCGAGCCCTGCGGGGCCGCGGCGGAATCCCTCCGCTGGGCTCCACCGCACTGGGGAGAGCAGCCCCGCACCCACGCTGGGGTCCTCTGGGGGGAGTGGGACGCGATCCAAACGCTTATGGGGCAGTAACTGAATCCCTGGAGCCGAGCCCTGGCTTTCTGGGAATTGAGAAAAAACACATGTTCACTGGCCACCAACTCGGGCCTGGCAGACAGCCAGATGGTGTCTTAGGAACTGGGAGAGTAAACAAGTGCGCGCTGACCCCTCCTTCTGCAAGGGGCAGTGAGATCGGGAGCCGGCTGGAGTCCACCCTGCGGCCCAGCACCAGCAGCTGTGGCTGCTCAACACAAATCAATCTTCCTTTTCTTTTCTGTGCCACCCCCCGTCCCCCGCCCCTCAGAGGGTCTTGCTGTGTATCCAGGCTGGCTTGGAACTCTGGATCCTTCTGCCTCAGCCTCCTGAGCGCTGGAATTACAGGTGTGCCCCACCACACCCACCAGGTCAATATAAGTTTAAATCAATTAAAATTCAATAGGTTGGACGTACAGCTCAGTAGGAGAGCACTTGCCTAGGAAGCAAGAGGCCCTGGGGTCATCCTCAGCACCACAAAAAAAAAAAAAAGGAAAGGAAAACACAGGAGTTTCTCATTTCATTTCAAAATATGACACCCTCTCAGGATGGCTCCATCCTCTGCGGGTGCTCTGCGCATCTCCACACCTGGCGGGTCTGGGAGGGATGAGGAGAAGCTGGAACTTTTCTAGATGTTGTCCTGTCCCTAGCTGTGAGTGGGGTGCTGTCAGGTGGGCTGGTGGGTGACTGAATGTCCTCCAGAGAGCCTGGTACTGGACACCACCAAGACTCTGGAAGGGTCCAGGCCCACTGTGACCACTAATTACAGTCATCTGTCAGCAGGACTGGCTGCAGACTCCCAAAGATGCCCTACCCAGATTGTTCCAATCCCTGCTGTACAACACTGCCTGTGCGATCCTCCTGTGGACTAAAACACCTGACACTGTGTGAACGCCTGTTATACTGTATTATAGATCACAGAATAATGACAACAAAAAGTCTCAGCCACGCACTGTGGCATGTGCCTGTACTCCCAGATGCTTGAGAGGCTAAGGCAGGAAGATTGTTTTGGGGCCAGCAAGGGCAACATAGTTGAGACCCCAATCTCTAAAAAAGAAAAGAAACTGGGAGTGGTGGAGCAAATCTGTAATCCCAGCTTACAGAGGCAGAAACACGAGGACTGCAAATTGGGAGCCAACCCAGACAACCTTACCTTGGAAACAAAATACAAACACAAAAGGGCTGAGGGCATGGCTCAAGAGGCTGAATATGCCTGGTGCTCGTGGCTCACACCTGTAATCCTGACTACTCAGGAGGCAGAGATCAGGAGGATGCAGGTTAAAGCCAGCCTGGGCAAAAAGCTGAGACCCTATCTCAAAAAAACCCAAACAAAAAAGGTCTGGTGGAGTGGCTTAAGAGGTAGAGCGCCTGCTTAGTACCACAAAAATAAACAGGGAGATAAGATAGACGATAGAGCCCGCACATACTCAGCACAGATGCAGTTTACTTTCGGGGAGGCTCCCTCTCCATCCACGGGTAGTCCCAGTCTCAGATGTGGAACCCATGGACACAGAGGTCCACTGCGTTCAACCAGCTCTGTGCTACCTGCACATTTCCCCATGCCCAGGGTCTGGCCACCAAGATCCAGGCTCTGCCACCCGAGAATCCCCTGTCCACCCCACCCCGTACCTTGAAGGCCTCTCGCCTCTGGTACTCGAGCTTGGCCATCTCCTCGGCCACCCAGCCTGGGATGTCAGGGATGGCCACGTGGATGAGGTACTTGAGGAGCAGAGCAAAGTGCTGAGGAGACAGAGAGGAGGCTGCAGGCTCAGGGTCGGCCTCTCCCCGCCAGCCTCCCACTGCCAGCAGCCACCCACCTCGAGCACCACCACGGACACGATGGCGGCCTCTGGGCTCAGCCAGGGGAAGAGGCGCTGCAGCTGCCCGCACTGGCCGATGAGGTAGCAGTTCACCACGATGGCCAGCACGCCCATGGCTTCCATGGCCTTCTGCAGGGGAAAGGACAGTCAAGGGCCGCCAACCTGGTTCCTTCGGCTGGCCCTGGATCCCTGTGGGCCTCCCCACCGCCCACCTGCCACTGGCCGATGCTCTCCACACGCTGGCCGAAAGGCCGCTGCAGGCCGGTGCACAGCTTGAAGGCGTCGCTGCGAATCTCGATGAGGTTGTTGACCAGGGCGCACAGCGCGGCCAGCGGGAAGGCCGAGGAGAAGAGCACGACGTAGCCAAACTGCACGAACATCTCCTGGTAGTCCTGGAACGTGTCCTGCAGGCAGGGCCCGCAGCTGAGCCTCCTCCCTCGACCCAACCATGGCTCGCCACATCCGACCACACGTACGGCTTTCACCCCGACCTGCACCTCCGCCCTCCTCACCTCGTACTTCTTCATGCAGCTCTCCAGCTCCGCCTGGGTGATCTGGGGCGTGTGCTCTTCCTCCGGCGGGTCGATCCAAGACGACCGGTTCTGCTTCTTGTGCCTCCCTGCCGATTCTCCAGAACCCGGCTCTGGGTCGGGGCCCCCATCAGGCCCCTGATCTCGGCCCTCGCCCCCAGCCCGGCGAAGCAGGATGGTTGGGGGCTCTCGCTCAGGGCTGCTGCCAGGAGGTCCCTCTGCCTCATCATCTTCCTCCGCCAGCGTGAACACCCCGGGCTCCAGCCCCTTCTCCACCATGGTGGGGCTCCCCTCCTCCAGGAGGGCCTCGGGGCTTGGGCCTGCCCGTCGCCGCCCGGCCCCCCGCTCGGCGAAGCTGACCTTCTTCAGTCGTAGCCCGCAGTCCAGGAGGCCCCCTTCCTCGCCCTCGTCGTCCTCGTCGTCCTCCTCTTCCTCCTCGTCCTCCTCCTCCTCGTCCTCCTCCTTGTCCCCCGGAGGCCCGTCCCTGACCTCCCCGCCTTCCCCTGCAGGCCTCCGCTCCGCCATCGCTTCTTCCTCCTCCTCGGGAGCCCCGCAGCCCCCGCCGAGACACCTGCGGCCCCCCGTCCCGCCCTCCTCGGCCTGGGGTTCCAGGCGGTGGGGCGTCGGCCGCCGGAGGCTCAGCAGGCCGATCAGGGCCCGGGCCAGTTCCCAGGCGGCCTGCAGGCCGAGCTCGCCGCGGCCCAGCCGGCGGTACAGGTGCGGCTGCAGGACCTCACGCATGTTCTGGAGGAACTGGCGGGTGATCAGCAAGGTGGCCAGCATCTGGGGGCGGGAAGGGGGCGGAGGGACTGCGTGGGGCAGGCGCGGCCTGGACACCTGACGGGCCCCACCCTGCAGGTGGAGCACCGATTGCTAACTGTCCCTTGAGACGTCCCTGGACACAGCGCCCAGCCCCCATTGGCAGGCCACACACCGCAGCCCGGCTCCCGCAGCACGTGGAGTCAACCTCAGGCCGGGCCCAAGGCAGGGGCCAGGAGCCTCGGCGGCCCCCCTGCCTGCGGGTCAGCGTCCCGTCCCCTCTGCGCATGCGCCCTCAGCTCGGGGTGCCCGCCCCCAGCACAGCGACGCCCCAGCTCGCCACCCGCCAGTACTTTTGCCCGGGCCGCGAGCAGGAGAACCCGGAGGGAGAGGAGGAGCAGGCGGAACCGCAGGGCCACGAGCGGGACCAGCACCGCCCGCAGCTGCCGCTCGAGGCTCTGGGACAGGGACAGGACGAGCAGGAGCTGTGGAGGGACCGACGGACAGGTGGACGGACAGATGGGGGGGTGACAGGCAGAGAGAGGACGCACGGACGCACGGACAGAGAGGAGAGAAGGATGGAGGGGGGGGGAGGGGCTGCAGAGCCCTGGACCCCTTGCGCCAGGTCCGGCCCCCCGCTGGCCGCCGAGGGTGGGCGAGAGTCTCACCTCTTTCAGGCGCTCCATGTCCTTGAGGTAGAAGCCGATGTAGAAGAGGCTCAGGTATGAGTTGACAAACTGGAACTGCAGGAAGCAGACAGGCAGGCGGTCACCCTGCAGTCCCCCTGCACCTGCCCCCTGCCCTCCTGCCCGCAGCGGCCACTCACCAGGACCACCTTGATGATGAGGTGCTTCTCATAGGCGCTCTCTAGCCGATAGTTCTCTAGGAGCCAAGGAGTCAAGTAAGGGGGCCACCCTGGTCCCCCAGGGCTAGGGGGATCCCCAGGGCCAGTAGGGCCCTTTCCCCCGGGGTGGGCAGTGGGACGTCCCTTGGCAGAGCCTACCCATGTCGTTCAGCCAGATGGCCAGCTTCTTGTAGCCCTCAGCACTCACGCTGACCAGCAGGGCCAGCATGACCTTGGGCAGGAAGCGGGCCAGGCGGGGCAGCCCCTTGACACTCAGCACCAGCTCCTGCAGAGCAGGACGTTCATGGCTCACCTGGGCTCAAGGTGGGGCCACTGTCAAGGACAAGGGACTGAGGGTCACCTGCAGCTGGAAGCAGCCGAGCATGAGCAAGAAGACGCAGGCGAGGCAGGCCAGGCACAGCGGGAGGCTCACGAGCAGCTGGAAGAGCAGCCGCTTCCAGGGCGGGTAGTAGAACTCCTCAGCCCGGGTCACGGGGCTGATGCGACGCACACCCTGGGGAGGCAGGACGGGGCCAAGCTGGGACCAGAGGGCCTGCCTCTGCCCCACACTCAGCTTCCCGCTGCCATCACCATTGCTCCTGCGGGCACCCAGTCCCAGAAATGCGATTTCCCGCCCCTCCCCGCATGCCTCCCTCACACGGCAGCCCTGCCTCTCACTTCCTCTCCTTTGCTCAGCGCTGGCCCCGCCCAGGGGCTGCTCTCCCTGGACTCAGCCTCCCACTGACCCTGAACTGGGGACGGGGCTCCTCCACGGCCTCCCCTGGTGAGTCCAGCGTCCCCCATTTGTAGGCCAGCTCTGCTCCCCTGCGTTTCCACTCCTCCAAGAATAGCGTTGACCAGATCACATTGAAGAGGGCAAAGACCACGCAGGACACATCCCGGCTTGTCTGCGGGTGGCAGAGGAGAACTGAGCCATGGGCCAGCTGGCCCAAGGAGGAGGGTCCTTGGAGCCCTCAACCCCCACCCAGCCCCCCACCTGGTACCTGATCGGCCTCCGTGAACGTGTAGAGGACAGAGCCAAAGACAGCCGGGTACACCATGGCTGATGTATAGAAACCCAGCCAAGCAAAATACATGGCAATCTTCACCCCAAAGTAGTCACAGATGTCATCTGCCGGGGAGCAGAGGGTGCCGGTCACCTCCACCTGCCTCTGGGCCCCTTGTCCACGCCCCAGCCCACCACCCAGCACAGGTCCACACCTAAAGGCTGGTTTTCACATACAGCCTGCACCCACGACTTCATGAGACGGTTCAGGATACGCTGCTCGTGGACCGGGAACACCTGCTGAATGATCCCACGGGCCGCCAGCTCGGGGACTGTGGAGGAGAGTGCAAGTGACCTTCGCTGTGTGCCCAGGTTAGCCTCAAACTCGCCGTTCTCCTGCCTCATCCTCCCCAGTGCCCGGATTACAGATAGGTGCCACATATGTGGCAACCACACTTTAAGTCAAACTGTTTGGCCTCAGTTTGTCTGAATGTCTAAGGAGCGGCTGCTGGCATCAGATGAGCTTGTGATGCCTCCTTTCCTAGAGGAGAAACAAGGCCAGGGGCCTGAAGACTGAGCACATGGAGCGCTGTCCATGGTCCTGCCAGTACCTTACCCCAGGCCCAGAAAAGGGTCTAGCCAGGACCCACCTCCCAGAGGATAAGCCCCACCCCTTTGCCACGGCCACGCCCACCAACTCACGGACTGGTCCGGCCCATCTAGTTAGGTCACGCCCCCCTTGAGCTCATTGGCTACGCAACTTTTAGTAACCCCACCCACCTTCCCCCACAGTAGGTCTCTAAGAGGCCGGCCCAATTCTCGGCCTGTGATTGGAGGGTTGGCCCCGCCTTGCTCACTGATTGGCTGGTCCTCAAGGAAGCGCACATTGTGCAACGCCTCGCCCTGCTTGGCACGCAGGTTCTGCAGCCAGAAGCGGATGATGCTCTGGCGTTCCTGTCGGGAGAGGGCTGAGCTCGGTGAGGAGCAGGGCACAGGGTGGGGACACCCAGGCCGGAGACACCGCGGGGACAGGAGCCGGCCTCACCTGGGAGGTGAAGAAGCGCAGCTCGCTCTCCACGTTCTCATAGATGAAGTCCTCTTCGCACGAGAAGCCGCGGGTGCCCCCGCCAAACTCGGCCTTCACGGCCTTGCGCAGACCCAGCTCGTCGGCCCCTCGCAGGAGGCTGCAGGGGACAGGGGAGGCGGCTCAGCCCAGCACGCGGGGGCGCGGGGCGGGACGCGGGCGCGGGGCCAGGGGCAGGGACTCGCCTCTCATAGGTGGCGGTGACGAAGAAGGCGTAGGCACGCGTGTGGCGGTGGTGGCGGACCTGCACGATGAGCTCGGGGATGCCCACGCGGATGTGGTTCAGCAGCCACAGCAGCGTGTGGTCGTCGGTGGTGTCTGCGGGGACACGGGGACCAGTGGCTCCTGCCCCGCGGGCCCAAGGCTTGCACACCCGCCGTGGGAAGGGGCGGGAGTGTCGCGTACCTGGGAAGGTCATCAACACGTCGCAGTTCTCCGTGGGCACCGTCTTCATCCATGCCTTGTGGGACACCAGGTAGCGCCCGGCCTGCAGAAGCCGCTTCCCGAAAAGCTTGTCTGGGGGCGCGCAGCAGGCGGGTCAGGGGCTCCCCGCTCCAGTCCGCCCTACAAATCTCACGCACTCGGAGACCCAGCTCCGACCCAAACCACGATCGCGGGGCGCGCACGAGCCTTGGCCACGCTAGGACAGCGCGTCCTCGCAGCGGCCTGGAGCTGGGCGCGGTTCTTACCCCCAAAGCACGGGAGAGGAAACTGAGGCCCAGAGCGCGTGAGTCATGTGCCCAAGGTCACACGGCCGTGCTGGGATTCGAACCCACGACCCCGTGATTCCGTATTCTCGGCGGAGAGGCCGGGCACCCTGGCCCGCCGCGATCCCGCAGCTCGGGGCGGCGGGGCTCCCCGAGGGGCGTGTCCGCGTCCCCGCCCGGACCCCCGTACCTGGACCCCCGCGCGCTGCGCCTCCCCGGACCCGCCCGCCAGGCCGCAACCTCAGCCGCAGTGCCGAGGAGCGGCCCTCGGCCGGACGCCAGGCCCGGACCCCGATCGCGCTCCCCGCCCGCGGACGCGCGCACCCGGGCACCTGCAACCCGGTGCGTCCAGCCGCCGCTCACATACCCAGAACTCCAGACGCTGGGGCCGCGGGCTCGCCCTCCGGCGGAGGCCTCTTGCCACGTTCCGCGTCCAGGGACGTGCCCCCGGCGCCCGAGGCTGTCTCGGCCATGGCGAGGACAGGTCAGGTTAGGGGCTGCAGGCCGCCCGGGCGCCGGGGGGCCGCGGGCTCATGGGGCCAGTGCGGCCGCGAGCGCGCGGGAGGAGGAGACAAAGGCCGCGCCCGCCCGCGCCGACCGCCGTCCTCGCGCACCCAGCGCTGCTTCTCGTCCCCGCCCGCGCCGAATCTCGAACCTCCTTCCTCTCGGGCAAGCCAGCCCGCCCGCCTGGCTCTCAGGTTCTTGTCCCCGCCCGTGTAGTTCGCTAGGCTTCCTTCCCGCACGCCCACTTGGGTCTCTGGTTCAAGTCCCCGCCTGCACCGCCCTCCCGTCTCCGCCTCGAGCTTCAGTTTCCCCATCTGCAATTAGAGTTCACGGGCACGGCTCGGAATCTGAGATGGACCGTGATTTCGACAAAGCAGGACGTGGGAGAGGGCGGACTGGTCTGGGGAGATTCATCACCCCAACGGGAATGCAAATAATTGTAGCATAATAATAATTAAGCCTCTGGGCCTTGGCACGTGCTGGTCAGCTGCTTGGGACATTCTTCCCGCCCTCTTCCTCTGGTGAACCCTTCCCTTCAGGATTTTTCCTTAGAGGGAGGATCCAGTACAAGTGTCAGGTTTAGCAAACAAAAAATCTTCCTAGTTCAATTACATTTTAGATGACCGAGTATTACCCATGTATACTAAAATATTACTCATGGCTTATTTGAAATTCGCATTTAAATGGATGGGGTTTTTTTTTGGGGGGGGGTGCTAGGCCCGCGGCGTCCTCTATTTTGCTCGATACCCCAACCGCTGACCAACCTGAGTAGCCCTCGCCTTTAGACTGTGAGCCCAGAGAGGGCATGGCCCATGTGGCACATAGTAGACGCTTGGTGTATATTTGTTGCAGAAGGAAATACTGGAATGGAGTTGCCCACTTCACACATGAAAAAGTTGGGCACGGCGGGGCATGGGAGGATTGCGCCCAAGAGCAGGTGCGCCGCCCGCCCGCCCGCAGGCTCCGGTCGAGAACCAGAGAATTCGCTGTGCGAAGGCGCCCCCGAAACCCCGCCCCCAGTGCAAGGAATTCCACCATCCGCGCTGGATTCTGCAGTCCCGCGCTGTCCTGGCTTAACCTGAGAGTAACCCGCGGGGCGCCCCTGTCTGCCGGTCGGAGAGCCAGAGAGCAGATCCACGGCCCACCAGGGCCAGAGGGGCAGGGGAAGCCCAGAGGGGAGGAGGCCGTGCTGGAGCTTCCGAGGCCGAGGGAACGGCTGGAGGGGGAGCGGGGGAAGGCAGAGGAGCGGGAGACTTCCCAGCAGTTTGGATAAGATTTTCCTTGGGCCACGGCGTGGGTTCCCCGGAACTCATCCCTCGCAGTCTGACGTGCTCCGAGCTTCCGGTCTCCATCTGGGCGCGAAGTGTAGCGCCTTTCCTGCTCGGGAAAACTAAGCGCGCACAGCTTCTTAGTTTTAGCTTCTTCTCCGCCTAAAGCTACGGAGCGGGCAGACGGGACTTTCGTCTGGACGTAATTCCCACCGCCCAGAGACAAGGCTGTCCCATCTCTCTCATTCGGGTCGTCTCGGATCCTTGCTACTCTAGGATCTTAAATACTCAGCCTCATGTTGCCGGGGGAACGTCATTGCGCTGCCCAACCCCGTAGATCCCCGCCCTCTTTCGCTTGCAGCAGCCTATAGGAACAAAGGCATTCAATCGGTAGGCGGGACGTCTCCTAAATGGTCCAATGGCAGTCGAGACTCTTGGAGCCCTTTGCCAGTCACGCGGCGGCGTAGGCGGGGTCTCCTGCCCGGACTTGAAGCCGCTGGGACCGACGCGCTGCAAGTTGTAAATCCATGCGGTGGGGGCTGTGGACCCTGGCTGCCCGGGCGGCCCGTGGGCCTTGCAGGTGGGTCGACCCGCGAAAGGGGTGTCACAGCGTGGGGGGCTGCTTGGACCCAAACCCACCCCTTAGGTTTGTAGAGTCCAAGTCCTCGCTGCAGAGCGCACATCTGGGTCACCTGCTCTCAGTCGCCCTGCCCCCAGCCGAGAGCCCCCGACCCCGCCGCACTCAGCCTCGCCGACGCGCTGACGTGCGTCCCCTCCTGTCCCAGCCTCTGCACGCGCCAGAGCAGCGCTGCCCAGGCCCTGGGCTCCGGGGCCACCATCTTCGCGCTCAGCTCAGGCCAAGGCCGCTGCGGCATCGCCGTGATCCGAACCAGCGGCCCTTCCAGCAGCCACGCCCTCCGGAGCCTCACGGCGCCCCGAGACCTGCCCCCGGCCCGCAGCGCCCGTCTGCGTCTGCTCAGCGACCCCCGCTCCGGGGAGCCGCTGGACCGCGCGCTCGTGCTCTGGTTCCCAGGTGAGGGGCCCCAGATCCCAACCTCCCGTAGCGCCCGTGACCCAGTTTTCCCTCCCCAGCAATTGCCCGGACCGTGCGTTGCACCTGACTCATCTCCTTGCCACACGAGGTCCCCACAGTTTCACGGGTGAGGACTGCGTGGAGTTGCACGTGCATGGAGGGCCGGCCGTGGTCAGCGGCGTCCTGCAGGCTCTGGGTGAGTCACAGTCTCAGGTTCGAGGCCTGGCTGTGTCGGTGGGCATGCCTGGGTGGGGACCAGGAGTCTCAGGCACCGGGGCCTTTCCTACAGGCAGCGTTCCAGGGCTACGTCCAGCCGAGGCCGGAGAGTTCACCAGGCGGGCTTTCGCCCATGGGAAGCTAAACCTGACCGAGGTGGAGGGGCTGGCGGATCTGATCCATGCGGAAACTGAGGCACAGCGGCGGCAGGCCCTACGGCAGCTGGACGGGGAGCTGGGCCAACTCTGCTGCGACTGGGCCGAGACCCTCACCAAAGCAAGTCCCCCATTTGCCCATTCCCTGCCTCAAAGACCCCACTTGTGCATTCCCAGCATGCAGACTCCCCACCCATTCTGTGTGTGAAATCTTCTGGCAGTGAGACCCTTGGGTTAAGCTAGAGCTGGGTACATTAGAGGGTGCAGCAGCGGGTTCCTTGACGCTTGCATTCCCGTCTTCCCGCCCTCCTCCTTAGGCTCTGGCCCACGTGGAAGCCTATATCGACTTCGGGGAGGATGACAACCTGGAAGAGGGTGTCCTGGAGCAAGGTGGGTCTGCCGGAGGGTGGAAGGTGCAGACAGGTGGCATTTTGGCTCCCAAAGTCTCTTCTGACTCCCTCCCCTCTGCCTGCCTTCCTCCACACACAGCGGACAGCAAAGTGCGGGCGCTGGAGGTGGCACTGGACACACATCTGCGAGATGCCAGACGTGGGCAGAGGCTCCGCTCAGGGGCGCACGTAGTGGTCACTGGACCTCCGAATGCGGGCAAGAGCAGCCTGGTGAACCTGCTCAGTGAGTAACAGGTGGGCAGGGGGCGGGGCCTGAGTGGGGCGAGGCCAGGCGTTCGGAGGCTTTGCTGCTCAGGTTTGGGGAAGGGGTCTGACCCAACGCTCTGTCCATTCAAGCCGTGGAGCTGGAGGAGGAGCTCTTGTGCCTTCATCCTGTCCCGTTCCTTTAACTCACTCCTCCCAGGCAGGAAACCTGTGTCCATCGTGTCCCCAGAGCCAGGGACCACTCGTGACGTGCTGGAAACACCTGTGGACCTGGCCGGGTTCCCTGCACTGCTGAGTGACACCGCAGGGTTGAGGGATGGTGTGGGACCCGTGGAGCAGGAGGGCGTGCGGCGTGCTCGTGAGAGGTGGGCAGGTGGCAGGGCTGAGGGAGGGGGACATGAGTCTCTTCCTCTGTCTTTTCTCCTTGTTGCATTTATTTTTCTTCCTGAATCAGAAAACGGTACTAAGCTCCTTTTCTCTGCCCCGCCTTGCCCCGTTGAGTTATGCCCTCCACCCCACCCACTGCAGTTCTGCTCCGCCTCCTCACTGCTCCACCCCATTGGGCTCTTCACAGCCCTTTGCCCTGGACCACGCCCCTTTGCTCTATGCCCCGCCTCCCTCTGCCCCGCCCTTTCTGGTAAGCCACGCCTCTCCGTCCCACCCATTGCGTTCTGCCCCGCCCCTCAGTACCCACAGCCCTTACTTGCTCGACTCAGGGCCAACCCTGGTTTCTTCTCTCTGTTCCCCAGGTTAGAGCAAGCCGACCTCATTGTAGCCGTGCTGGACGCCTCTGATCTGGCCTCTCCCTCCAGCCGCAATTTCCTGGACACTGTTGTAGTCCCCCGAGGAGGCCAGAGCTCCGGTGGTAGCACGCAGCGCCTCCTGCTGGTGCTGAACAAGTCCGACTTGCTGCCCCCCCAGGGCCCTGGCCCCTGTCCTGCCCTGCCACCCCACCTACTGCTGTCCTGCCTGACTGGAGAGGGGCTGGACGGCCTTCTGGAAACCCTGAAGACAGAGCTGGCTGCAGTGTGAGTCTCCCTTGCCCACTTCAAGCTGCCCCTGATCCAAGTTCAGATGGAGGCTAGCCGCTGGCTCTGGACCTGTCCCAGAGCCTCAGTCTATATCTGCAAAATGTCCCCTTCAAATCGTGCTTGCAAAGATTAAGGGGATCCTGGTGTCTTGTCCACAGGTGTGGGGACCCCTCCACAGGCCCGCCTCTCCTGACCAGGGCAAGGCACAGGCATCACCTGCAGGGCTGCCTGGACGCCCTCAGTCACTACAAGGGGGCAGAAGACCTGGCCCTGGCAGCCGAGGCTCTGCGTGTGGCCCGCAGGCACCTGGCCCACCTTGCAGGCGGAGGGGGCACTGAGGAGATCCTGGATGTCATCTTCCGGGACTTCTGTGTGGGCAAGTGAGCCACCTGCAGTCAGCTCAGGTCGGTGAGGTTCTCACACCGTGGAGGGACTGGACCCCATGAGGAAGCCAGGCGGCTGTCTTCAGGCCCTGAACTCCTGGCGGGCACTTGCTGGGCACTGGGAGCCACACATGGAGGCCCCGGCCTGTACCAGTGCTGGAGGTGTGGTGGAGCAGGGACAGACAGGAGGACCTCAGGTTGTTTGCTGCATGTTTTTGTTTCTGAAGTGCTGGAGGTGAACTTTGCCCAGCTAGGCCTCGCAGTCACTCTGCACTGAGCTATGTCCCCAGCCCTGTAGTTTTTTTTTGCAAGTACTAAAGGTGTGTGAAAAATTCAGGGGATGAGGAGTGTTTCCAGTGAGGGTCTCCTTACCTCCTCTCCCTGGGTCCCAGCTTTACGCAGACATTTCCAGAACTTCCTCTGCGTGTTTGCACACTTGCGGCTGCTCTGTCAACCAAACGTGTGTTTTATTTCTCTGTTCCTTCAGGGGGGTGGCTTGGTGCTGGGGATCACACCCAGGGCTTTGTGCTGGGCACTTGCTCTGCTTTGCCACAGGACTACACCCCAGCCCTGAAAACACGTGTTTGGCATATAAATTCCGCTGTTTATTGATGTGCAAATTGTGTTTCCTTTTTCAGTAAATGTTGAGATTTTGTCTCTTGTGTCTCAAAAGTGACTTGTAAGACGGGTGTGTTGCCACATGCCTGTGACGCCAGCTGCTGGGGGACATACAGGATGAAGGTTGGAGGCTCCCGGGCAAAGTTAGCCCTAGCAAGTGCGGGGCCCTGAGTTCAGTCCTCAGTTTAAAAGAAGTGACTTACAAAACGCAAGGGCCACCTCCCTCTCTAAACTTAGTCCTTTCATCCATCCGTCAAATATTTACTTAGAAGCCTGAACCACGCACATTTTTTCCCAGTGCTGGGCATGGACGCAAGCCTTGTACATGCTTGGTGAGTGCGCACAATGTGTTATGGAATAATGAAGGGGCTATTTCGTTCCAGTCTTATGGATGAGGAAACCGAGGCTCAGGGATGTGGTGCCTCGCCGGAGGTCCGTCCTTCCGTGTGGGGTTTGAGCACACCCCACCTGATTTGAGTTTGCCAGGTGCCTCCTGAGCAACCAGCACCTTGGGAGACTAGAGGAGGGACCCAGCTCTCTGCAGACCATCTGGTGGCTGCTGTGTGACCTTGCCATGGAGGAGACCTGGGCTGGCCGGGGACTTGATGGTGCCCTGCCCTACCAAGGTGACAGTTGTGCTGTGATCTGCATGAGAAGAAGGCCAGGCGGAGGAGGATGGGGAGCACCCCATGCAGAGGCACCGGACCTGCAAAGGCCCCACCACATTGCATCCAGGGTGTGGCTAGAGCCCTGAGAAAGAAGGAACTCTGCGGAGCCAGATATAATGGTGGCCAGCCAGCAGAGGGCGCCCTCCCCTCACAAAGGAGGTGCCCGGTCCTCCTGCCTTCCACTCTGGGAGCATCCAGGCCTCCACCTGGTGGCAGTGAAGTAGTGGCTCACTCCCTCCACAGAGTGGAAACTGAGTCCAGTGGAGCCAGGTCTCTTCCATAACCAGTAGATGTCCAGCAATGAAGGCACAAGCTCTAGCTTCAGGGGTCACCTGAGCTGTGTCCCAGACAGATGGAGGACATGAACAGGTCTTGATGCCCCCAGATTTCCCACCCACCCTGTTCCTCACAGATGTGTCCCTACTCGGTTGGTTTGTTTGTTCAACATGGAGGATGTGTAATCATAGCTACTCGTGCAGAGGCAGAGATCAGGAGGATTGAGGTTCAAGACCAGCCCAGGACAAATAGTCCTAAAAAACTCATCACAAAAAAGGGTTAGTGGAGTGGCTGAAGTGGTAGAGCACCTGTCTAGCAAGCGTGAGGCCCTGAGTTTCAAACCACAGTGTGGCCAAAAAAAAAGAGCCCGAGGCCCAGAGAAGAACACTCACGTGGCTGGGGTGCAGTCAGTGGTGAGCACTTGCCTGGTGTGTGAGGCCCTGGTTTCCTCCCAGTATCATAAAATAACCACCAGTGAGGTGGGCTGTAGTGGGGAGGGTTCAGAGCATTCCCAGGAGGCGTCTGGGACTGGGTGAGGATGAGGTGCACTTTGGGCAGGAGCCCTGCAGCCCTCATGGGGCCTGGCACACAGCTGCACTGAGGGCCTTGGCCACGGTCCCTTCTTTCCAAGAAGGGTGAGGTGGTTTGTGGGAAGCATCCGTGGGGGTTATTTATAGAGGCTGCAGGAAATCCCCAAAGAGTCAGCACCTCACCCGGAGGCGAGGCAGCTGGGCCTCAGGATCAGGGATCCAGCGGTTGCTCTCTGCGGGGTGATCAGCCCCCATTAGAGGCCTGTAGAGAAGTGCAAGCTGAGGCCAGCCGTTTCAGCCCTGGAAAGAGGGAGGATGCAACTGGGGGTGTCAGGGAGCAAGGGCTATGCCTGGAGCCTCAGAGGGCTGCCTGGAGGAGGGCTCTCTAATGCTGGGCCTCAGAGAAAGAGGAGTTTGTCAGCCCAGACAGAAGGCATTGGAGCCCGGGAGGGTCCCAGCCCTGAGGAGGAGGCCAATCTGAGGTACGTAGCCAGACCCCGTTTCAAAAAACAAAACAGAAAGGAAGGAAAGAGAGAGTGGTAGAGTTCCTGCCTAGCAAGTGCAAAGCACTGAGTTCAAACCCCAATATCACCAAAAAAAGAGGAAGAAAAAGAAAAAAGACATTTGAGTCTTGCTCAATCTTTAATCAGAAAAGTAAACATCCAGGAAACCTAGAGCCAAAGGCTACACGGTGTACAGAAGGCTAAGGAATTAAAATCTGTCCCAAAGGTGATGGGAGCCATGGAGGGTGTGTGAGCAGGGGAGGAGCTTGGTCAGCGTGTGTGATGGGCACAGGAGCCGTACTGAGGGCAGAGGCCAGGCTGGCCCCGGGACTGGGGTGGTGGGTCCTTGAATGCTGCAATGGCAGAGGCCGAGGCCAGGTGTGTGTACAGTTTTAGGGTCACTGGGACTGGAGGCAGGGTCTTGCTACTTTCCTCCAGCTTAAGAATTATACCCATTTCCTGGACATGAAAATGGAAGTTGAGACTGAGTGAGCCACAATTTCAACCCAGGCCTCCCATGGTGACTGGGTCTGGCCGGCATCATTGTCCTCCCAGGACTCCAGGCTGCCTGACCATTGGGCTCAGGGTCAGGGACGTCCCCATTTCCTTGGAGCCCCCAGAGCAGCCTGGCCGGTGGCCTGGCCAAGCTGACCCTCCTGGCCCGGCTTGGCGGAGCCCAGCCAAGTGTTTCCTGCTCGACGACGTCTCTCGCCTGAGTTTCCCCCGTTTCCGTATCCCGGAAATATCGCTTTGTCCTTCCAGACAACCTGCCTGAGCGCCTGCTGCCAGCCTGACCCCGAGACTCATCCCCTCCCCTCGGGATCCCGGGGACAGAGGGCAGGACTGGGGGGGACGCTCGCATTCTAGACCCTTTTTCCCTTGAAAGCCATATCTTTTGTTCTTCGAATAAAATCCCAGGAACTGGGCTGCCAAGTTAAAGGATTTGTGCACGATAGGATTTTGTGTTTCTAAGACCAGTCCTGGCTACTTGGACCACGCATGCCTCCTGAGGGCTGGGATTATAGGTGTGGCCACTGCGCCTGGCTTTCTTAACTTTACTGCATTATCACCAAAACTTGCTTCTAGTAGCTCTGTGGCGTCGCAGTGTCCTTTCCCGGGCTGTGGTGCAGAGCGACCGCCCGTGCACCCCCTGTGCTGCAGGATCACACCTGCACAAAGGTGAGCAAAAGCACACGGCCTGGGATGGTGCAACATGGCTCCTGGGGCCACTCTCAGAGGAGAAAGCACCGTGGTTCACTCGGCCATTGTCAATGCCTGGGAACAATCCTAGAAAAGGCAGAGCGGCAGCGACAGTCACTTCATAGGGAAACACCGGCCAGATGTGGTGGCCGCACCTGTCCCCTCACCTGGGAAGGAAGCAAGCGGATCTCAAGTCAGGCCAACCTGGGGAACCCAGCAAGACCCTGGCTCAGAAAGCAGCTAAAAGAAACACTGAGTTTGGTGGTGATGCTGTCACGCTCAGTGCGCAGTCCTGTCCCTGAACGCTGAGGTGACAGTGACGCAGTCACTCATCACTGCTGGCATGTGTACAGGTGTGTGAGGGAAGCCATGGCGCCTGAGGTTCCCATCTCTCCAGCCTTCTCTTCCTCCTGAGCAGAAGTCACCACTCTGGAGCCTCTGAAGGGACAGCTGACATTTATTTATTGTCACTAGTATCTTCATGAGCCACAGGAAGGGGGAGCTGGCGGGCTCTGGGGGACCCTCACCCCTGGACCATGCCCTTTTGGAAGGGGGGCTGGAAACTCTCAAGGGGGGGCCTGGAAACCCTTAAGGGGGGCCTGGAAACTCTGGAGGGAGGAGGAGGCCAATGGCTTCCTGTTCTCACCTCCTGGCCAGGCCCGGGAGATAAGGAAGTCGGAGGAGGCTGGCGGCTGACACCAGGCTGTGCACAAGGGGACGCTGGGCTTGGCCCGGTGCAGGGCAGGGCAGTGACACCGAGTGACGTGGGGCCGAGAGTGAGGAGGGAATGCACGCGTGCAATGGTGGTGCTCTGCCACTGCCGTGTGAGCTTAGCGCTGAGTGGCCGTGACGCCATGGCGGCTTTGTGCGTGACATCATCGCTGTCTGACATCATCGCCAGGTCTGTGCCCAGGGCCTTGGGTGCACGTGGCTGTGAAGGGCAGTAGGGGGCAGCAGTCGTGTCCGGCACCCGAGGTCATGGACGGGGCCACCCCGGGGTCCTCCACCGTAGCCTTCTCAGCCACTGGGGAGAGAAGAGGACACAGCAGCTGGTCAGACAGACGGAGGACCTCACCAGGCCTGGAACAGGACAGCTGAGGTCCCCACCTCCCTCCTCCCCAGGCTCTATTGGCCCTTTGTGGACGCCTCCCGGAGCCCCAAGCCTCTGCTGCAGCCTGTCGGCCTGTCCCCAAAACTCCCCCGGGTGCTGGAGGCTGAGATCCTGCCCTAAAGCTGGCCACCCCTACTGCGGCCCCTAAGATAGGGCCAGCTCTCTCTTTTTTAATTTGTTCTGTTTTGAGACAGGGCAGCCAGGCTGGTCTCGAACTCACAAACCTCCTGCCTCAGCCTCCCGAGTGCTGGGATTCTGGATTCTGGTTCTTTTACCTGCACAGAACTGACCCAGGGCTTGAGCCTTCCTCCTTCCCATGAGTTTTCCAGTGAGGCTGCCCCTGCTCACACACCCTCCATGGCTCCCCAGTGCCCTCGGCCTGGAGACCTGGCATCCAAGGCTCCGTCCTTCTGCCTCTGCCAGGCCTCCCCGCCAGGGACTCCAGCCCTGCCAAGTCCCCACCATGCCAGAGCCTCCCCAGCGCTTCCGCCCCTGCCTCCCCCGTGGCCTGCACGAGCCATGGCTGTCTGGCTTAGGTCCTGCAGGTCAGGGGCTGGCGCTGACTCTGTTTCCTGGTGGGGGAGGAGGGACTGCTTCCGCTGCCCCCTCCCTTCCTTCCCTGCTCTTCCCTGGGGCCCCAGCGGCCTCACGTTCCAGCACTGGCTCAGGACCCCTCCCTGACTCTGGTCACCGGCCCCCAAAACCCCCACCCCTGACGTTCCACACCCCTCCTGCCAGCCAGGGGGGCCAACAAGGGCCACCTCTCCCCACCTGGCACTGCTGGACCCGCAGTTGCCTGTACTCTGGCCCAGGTCCACCTCACCCTCCAGAGTTCTCTCCCCAGTAACCACAGGGAACCTGCGCAGGCCTGAACGGGCCAAGTCCCAGTTCTGCTCAGAACCTGCCATGGTCCCTGCTGTAGCCACAGCTGGCCTGAGGTGCCCCTGTCACCTGCCTGCCTGCCATGACCCCTGCACTCCACCCAAGCTCACCAAGCACGGCTCTGCCTGCCGCACCTTCCCAGGGTCCCCTCGGGGCCCCTCGCTCGCCTCCTTTAGGTCCCTGGTCACCTCCTGGGTGAAGCCTTGTGCTGCCCCGAGGAGGGTCTCACTTCCTGTCTGTCCCGTCACCGCGGGCTCAGTCGTCTGCCCTCACGTGGCTCCCACTACTCCATGAGCCACACACGGGGCTGGCGCCGAAGCACTGCGTGAGACACGAGGAAACGCAGGCTGGGATGTGAGCCGGGGCAGACGGCACCTGAGGCCTCCATGCTCAGTTCTGCTGTATCCAGCCACATAGCCCTGGGCTCAGTTTACCTAATATTTTGATCAACTGTGTGGCTTTTGGTTTTGGCAGCACTGGGGTTTGAACTCAGGGCCTCACACTTGATAGGCAGGCGCTCTACCACTTGAGCCCTGTTTTGTGTTGTCTTCTTCCAGACTGGATCTCACGAACTATTTGCCAGGCTGGCTTTGAACCTCGATCCTCCTGATCGCTGCCTCCCGAACAGCTAGGATTACAGGCGTGAGCCACCAGGGCCCCCGGCAAATTATGCTTCTTTGTTTGTTTGTTTGTTTGTTTTTTAAATGTCCTCCTTCTGAGACAAGGTCTGGCTGTGAAGCCCAGGCTGGCCTTGAACTCGTGATCCTCGGCCTCCTGAGTGCTGGGATCACAGGTGTGGTGCTCAGAAACCTTTGAAAATACATGTGCAAATGGCACCCCAGTGAAGAAAAGCCACTGGGGCTGTCATCAACAGAGTGATGTCACACGGTGGGGGTCCCTGTTCATCCCACGCACCGCGGGAGTAGGCGCAGACCAGCTGCCCGGCACCGGGGTGGGTGACAGTGCCGGGCCGTGAGGCTGGGCAGCAGGGTCACTGGAGCCCGGAGTTCAGGGCAGCCTGCGCCACACAGCGGGACCGGCTCAAAATAACCGAGTGCGTAAAGAAAGAAGTCGATCGGTGGGGAGATAGGGCGCTGGCTGAGCCGGACCTGACCCTGGGCCTCTCCCCACTGGAAGGCCAGACAGAGGTCCTTCCTGCCACCCGAGGGAGACACAGGAGGGACCGGGGCTAAGTGCCCATTGTTTTCTCAGCAGGGGACGTCACTTGGGGTAAACAATGTCGAGTGCTTTCCCGGTTCTCAGCCAGGGCCGGACAGTCCTGGGCTGGGAGCCCGACCCCATGCACGACACCGCTGGGCCTCAGTTCCCTGCTCTGAGAAATGGATTAATGATAGAATCTCCTTCCTCACCACGCCGGCTTCAGGCCAAGACAAGAGAAGGAAACTGCCTCTGCCTTGGGGGCTCCTCAGGGCTCAGTTCCCTCCCTGCGGGCTGGGGGACCAAGGGGCTCATCCAGAGCAAGAAGGGGGGGGCGGCTCTGCGAGGCGATGAGCCCTCCATGACAGAGCCATGCCGAAGAACCGAGGCACACGGGAGCCAAAGGCAGGAGCGTCACGAGTTCCAAGCTAGCCTGGGCCACATAGGGGAAAAAAAAAAGGATGGGGCAGGGAGGGAGGGGGAGACAGAGAGAGGGAGGACACGGAAAGAAAGAGAAGGAAAGAAAGACAAGCTGGGCACCCCTGGCTCACGCCTGAAATCCTAGCTACTTGGAAGGATGGTATCAGGACCGGTTCTTTGACAAACCAGGCAAAAAAGTTCCCAAGACCCCATCTCAACCAAGTAGCTGGGAGTGGTGGCACACACCTGGAGGGTGGTGGTCCAGGCTGGCCTGGGCTAAAAGCCAGACCCCATCTTCAAAAATAACCAGAGCAAAAAAGGCTTGGATTGTGGCTCAAGCGGTAGAGCGCCTGCTTTGCAAGTGCAGAGCCCTGAGTTCAAACCCCAGTCCCACCAGAAAAGAAAGGAAGAAAGGAATGAGGAGGAGATGAAGAGGTGCTTCAAGTGGGGCCTGGCCACAGTGACCCTGTCCATCTGCCCAGAAAGCCACATTCAGCACCCAGGGCTGCCATGGACCCAGGGTGCTCACGGTCAGTGGAGTTGTTGGGGTCACAGAATTTGACTTAAAGTCCAGCATCTCCCTGACCCTCGGGGGTAACTGCAAGTGGAGATGTGGGTCCAGACTCGGTCACTGACCACAGGAGTCACCGGGATCCTGGAGGGAGCACAGGGTGTCCTTGGGCAGTGCCCTGAGTCACCTTCCTGGTGACGCACAGACAGGCTGTTTCCAACAGATGAGCGGCTGGGATGGGGTGAAGGGGCACGGGGCCATGACAGGGCGTGTGCCCCTTGCTCTGGACACTAGCCGTGCAGTGCGTGTCCAGGCCTTGACACCAGGGCTCCTTTTCTGTGACACGGGGTCTCACTATATGGCCCAGGCTGGCCTCGATCTCTCCATCACAGGCGTGACCTCCATTTTTGTACAGTTGGAACGTGAGACTCAGGTGCCCATTACCTTCACACCCAGTGCAACCTCTGGGCCGCCGCACTGGCTGTTCCTGCAGGCGGGGACACTGTTCCTGCGTCTCCTCCCCGAAGCCCTGCCTTGCCGGTGTGGAGCTGGGGCCTGGGCTCAGGGCCCAGGTCTGCCACCTGCTCCCTGGCTGTGTCACCTGGAGTCAGGTGCAGCCCTGTCTGTGCCTCACTTTCCCTGTCCATAGCCAAGCTATGTCATGAAGATCAACTGAGTTAATCGTGAAAGTGCTTAGAACAGGGCAGACCTAGCCCTGGCCACACCTATAAACCCAGGAAGATCGTGAGTTCCAGCCCAGCCTGGGCTGCACAGTGAGACCTGGCCTCAAAGAACCAAAACACAGCAAGCAAAGTTCACAGTAAGTGCCTAATAACTGCAGGCTCTTTGCTTCTCTCATCACACCTTGTTCCTTGCTTGTCCTGCCCACTACTTAGGGAGTGTCACGAAGACAAAACTGGGTGTGTCAGGATGACTACTGGGTCTTCCGGGCTCAGCACAAGACCTGGTATTCAGTAGGTGCTCAATTAAGGGAGCAGCAAGCATGAGCTCATCCTCCCTCCACCCCGAGTCTCACCTAGGCTTGTCCGCAGCCCCGACACTCAACAGCCAGCCTTACCTGGATGGGACCAAGGGGTTGACTGCAGGGGATCGCTGGGAGTCCAGGATCCTCTTCTTGAATTCCTCCAGGTCTGCTGGGTCTGTGGGAGGGGGGCTCAGGCTTGAGACATGTCCCAGCAGTCTGGGTGGAAGGGACCCTCCATTTCCCTGACCCTTCCCTCTGTCACTCACTGATGGGTGGCGGGTTGGCAGCTGTGACCACAGGTCTTGGCAGGGTCACCGGCTGGGACTGTGGGAAGAAGGAAGAGGGGCGGGAGGTGAGCGGGGCTGGGGACCCTTGCTGCCCTTGGAGACCTGGGTGCTGATGTCCTTCTGGGCCAGCAGAGGCCCCTTGCAGAATGACACACACGGTAACAGTGCAGTCGCCCACCATGAGTCCTCAGTGGCCTGGGGACCCGGCACCGGCTTCCCACGCAGGTCCCAAAGCCCGTTCTGCAGAGCTCAGCTTCCGAGGCCTCCCTCACCCTCACCACCTTGCTCCAAGAGTGACCAGCGGGGTCTGCTCACCTGCCCCATTCGTCCAGCAGCAGCACCCAACCCCAAGTGCCACCCTCGGACCGCAGAGCTGATCCCAGCCCAGCCCAAACCCCACAGGGATCCGACTTGTCCAGCTGAGACTCAGCCATAACTGTGCCCTGTCCCCTGTCCCCTAGACCGACTGCTGGGCAACCCAGCCCTGGGCTCCACCATGGCCACCTCAGACCCCAGCCCCAATTCTGTCAAATTCACCCTGCAGGCCTCAACCCAACCCCATCCCAAAGCAACCACAAAAGTCTCCGTCCACCCATCCAGTCCCAAACCCAGAGGCACCCTGCCATGTTCAGTCCTAACTCGATGTAACCCTTCCGGCCCGTGCGCTGACCCCAACACCGAGGGACTCTCAAGGGACTCTGACCACCCAACCTAGCGGTGAGCTCCCAACTCCAAACTCAGGTTCATCGTCTAACCTCGGACGCCCTCCAAACTCAAGCTGGACACCAAGGCCAACATGGCCTTGCACCCTCATTCTGGGCCCCAAGCCCACCTTGGCCTTGAGGCAGGTGTCCAGGGCGGTGGCCCTGACGTCCACCTGCATCTTGAGCTGCTCCACCTCGCGCTTCTTCCCCTCCAGCTCCTTGGCCAGGGAGTCGCGCTCCCTCCGCAGAGCGGCCTTCTCCTCCAGCGCCAGCTGTGTCTGCCGGGCGCACTCAGCCTGCAGCTTGGCCTCCCGGGCCTGGGCCTCCTTCTCGGCCTTGGCCTTGGCCTCCTCACTGGCCCGCAGGCCCCGCTCCACTTCCAGCTTCTGGCGCTGCAGGTCCGTGTTCTCGCGGGCCACGCGCTCCACGCCAGACCGCAGGCTCCGGACCAGCTCCTCCACCTTGCTGGCCATGAGGCTGGGCATGAGGTCACAGCTCCTGCGGATGGAGCTCAGCTCGGAGCCCAGCGGGTGGTAGCCGAAGCCCAGCGAGTCCAGCGAGCGCGGGATGATGGAATCCCGCCACAGGCTGCGCAGGTCCGCCTCGAACTTGTCCTTGTCCAGCTGGAGGCACAGGGCCTGAACCTTCTGCAGCTGCTGCTGCCCCAGCTGCTGTTCCTGTCGCAGCAGCTCCTGGACCTTGATGCACTCGGCCAGCTGCCCCTCGGCCATGCGCTTGGCTGTCCCCAGGCCGTCCTTATCCTGGGCACACATTGCCTTCTCCTTCACCAGCTCCAGCTCCAGCGTCTTGCTTTTCTCCCCCAGCTTCAGGATCAGGGCTGGGGGGACAGGGTGAGCAGATCCCAGAGGGTTGGGAGGGTCTGGCCAGGAGATCCCCGTCCCCCCGTCCCCCGTCCCCACCCCACGCTGGCCACACTCACCTTCGCAGCTGCGGTTCGACTCCTTCAGATTGTCCTGGCACTGCTTCTCGCTCAGGATGATGGCCGCGATGTACTGCTGATAGGTGAAATAGGTGACCTGCCCCAGGGAGGGACACAGGACAGAGCTCAGCACCACTGAGCCGGGACGGACAGGGGTGTTCTGCAGCTCCTTGTCCCTCGTCTCAAGGCTGGCCCTTAGCTGACACCCAGGACCGTGGGACAGGGACAGAAACCGGTGGGGATGCTCCCAAGACTCAAGCTGGACACCAAGGCCAACGTGGCCTTGCAACCTCGTTCCGGGCCCCAAGCCCACCTTGGCCTTCAGGCAGGTGTCCAGGGCGGTGGCCCTGACGTCCACCTGCATCTTGAGCTGCTCCAGGAGCTGGAGGGGAAGACTAATGAGCCAGAGGTGTAGACAAAGTGAGTCGCCCCAAACGTGAAGGGTGACAAGAAAGGGCTCCTGGAGCCTCAGGCCCCTCTGCACCCCTGGGAGCTCGCGGGGTCATCGCCCACCTCCTCCAGGCCTCAGGCCAGAAACCAAGCCACGGACAGAAAAGCTGATGAAACCGAGAGGAGAGGAGAGAGAGAGGCAGAGAGAGAAGTGACAATCTTTGAGGAGATGGCTGATTTTCCGATTCAATCATCACGCACTGTGTATATGCAGGGAATCATCACGCCACACCCCGCAAGCAAGTACAAATATCTTACACCAATAAAAAGCTTGAAACTTGTTGGCACTGAGCTCCTTTGCAGAGCTGCCACTGTGTTTCTTCCTCTAATAAATCTGTTCCTGCTCTCCATCTTGGTAAATTCTTTTTCCAACCCAAGGCTCAAAAAAACTAAAATGCTTAAAAGAAAGAAAACGTAGATCTGGGGTATAACTCAAGTGGTAGACAGCTTGCTTTCCCACTCATAGTACAGAAGGAATGGGGAAGGGGAAGAATAGAAAACCAGCGGTACTCTTCAGAGTTGTCTGTCTGTCTGTTTTTGCCACACTGGGGTTTCGACTGAGGGCCCCACACTTGCTAGGCAGGTGCTCTACCAGCCCTCAAAGCTTAAAGTTTAAAAAAATCTAACTGAAGCCCAGCATGGTGGCTCACGCCCTAATCTCAGCTACTCAGGAGGCAGAGATCAGGAGGATCACGGTTCTAGGCCAGCCCCTGGCAAATAGTTCATAAGACTCTATCTCAAAAAAAAAAAAAAAAAAAAAACCATCACAAAGCAGGGCTGGCGGAGTGGCTCAGTGGTGGAGCACTGCGTAGTAAGCGTGAGGCCCTGAGTTCAAACCCCAGTGCTGCTGAGAGATTTTTCTAAAAACCTAGAAAGGGGTAGAGTTGTCTTAACATGGGTGAGGTGCTGAGCTAAAGTCCCAGCTCCAATAAATAAAAAATCCAGAATCTTTTTTCATTTGTTTTTTTGGGACAGTGTCTTTGTGGCTGGCCTGGAACTCGCTGTCCTCTGACTCCCCGTCCTCCTGCCTGTTTCTCCAGTGCTGGGGTCACTGGCGTGAACTGCACAGAGAATCTGGGGCGTCTGATTCTCTGTGCTGGGGAGTCGGCGTTCCTGGACGCGTGACAATCTTAAATCTGATGACCCTGGACCAGGTGGCCGGATGGCCGCACTTGCCCGGGAAAGTCCAAATGATTCCCAGGAACCATTGACTCTGAGGGGCCTGGCTCTGGCCTGGAGGGATCTGGGGGTACCCACTGTATTCTAGGGGAATGAGGGGGGTCCATCCTGCTGTAGGGATCTGGGGGTACAGGATCCGTGCTGTGGTTCTAAAGGGGTTCAGCTCTACCCTGGGGTTCTGGGGAGAGAAACCAATCCAGGAGGTCCAAGGGGGAGAGAGGGCCCTGCCCCAGGGCTCTGAGGTGTGCACACCCCTCTGCAGTGCAAGTCTGAGGCAGGAGGCTGGGGAGATGACATGGCAGGTCTGGGGGAGGAGGCACAGCCCCCCCTACACACAGGCCTGCCCTGGAGTCAGAAGGGCTGAGCCCTTTCTCCTGCACAGTGGAGGGCTGGGTGTTCTGACACCTGCCAGGGGTTGCTTCCTCAGAACCGGACACAGTCAACCAGGACACTCCCTGCAGGACCACCAAAGTCACCTCCCCTCACCCAGACCTCCCAAATCAGTCCAGCCCTCGCCTCCCCTCCTCATCTCAGGGTGAGCAGGAGCCCCTGATGGGAGCCAGAGTGAGGGACAACGGGTGACTGTCCAGAGTATGTCACAGGAGCCAGTCTCCCTGCAAAGCCACCTGTGGGCCTGTCTCTGCCCCTGGGGAAAAGTCCCTCCCCTGTCAGCCTTCCTTTTAACTTCTCCCTACCAGGGGGGAAGAGCATCTGCTTAGCAGGTTGAGGCAAGATGGCTTTTCTGCAGCCAATAGCAGAGGAGGCAGAAAGGACTTAGCCCATTTTGCTCTGGTTACTTGGGAGATGGGGTCTCAGAATTTGCCTAGGCTGGCCTCGAACCTTGATGCTCCCGGTCTCAGTCTCCCAAGTAGCTGGTGCCTGGCTATTAATTTTTTTTCCTTTTTTGAGACAGTGCCTCGCTGCGCAGCCAGGCTGCCCATCGCCCTGCCTCTGCCTGCGGAGTGCTGGGGTCACAGCCGTGGCCACCTCAGCAGCTATGAATCTGCTTGCGTGTGCAGTGCGGGGGATGGAGCCCAGCACTGATCATGCTGGACAAGTGCTGCACGACTGAGCTGCACCGTCAGCCCAACCTCCAAGTTTTTAAACGGCCTGTACTCAGGTGTTTCATTATTGCAAAAGAAAGAGTAAGATGGGGCATTCTTTCGTCAGTCATGCAAGTCCCAATGTCGCGTGGGACACGCTGGTATTAACAATGTCTGTCTGGGGTGCAGTGCCGAGCCTGGGCCTTCCCTGCAGATCCAGGTGCACACGGGGCGGAGCTGGGGATGCGGGGTGCAGAGACTGGGCCCTCCCTGGGGACGCGGGTGCGGACTCCCCGCCTTACCCGGTCGGCCTGGCACTGGCGGAAGCTGGCGTTGATGCGCTCGAGGTCGCGGCGCGCGCCCAGCAGCAGCTGCATGATGGCGTCCTTGGCGGTGGCCGTGAGGTTCAGCTGCTTGGTGAGGTTGCTCTGCGCGGCCGACAGCTGCTGCACCTGGCCGTACAGCTCGTCGGTCCGGCGCTCGGTGGCCCTCAGGTTGGACTCGGTGCTCAGGTGCACGTTGCCGTAGACCATGAAGAGCACGAGGCCCATGATGACCAGCAGCTGGATGAGCGAGGCGAAGAGGAAGAAGTAGCGCAGGTAGAACCAGCAGCCCCGCGCCGCGCCCGCGCGCGCGTACGGCCCGCGCTCCATGGCCAGCCGCATGCTTCCCGCGCCGCCGCCCGGCCCCGCTTTATCCGCCCGCTCCCCCCGCCTCCTTCCTGCAGGAGGAAACGCCGCTCACCGCCCCGCCCGCCCGCCCCGCTGCGCCTCGGTTTCCCCGGGGCGCGGTTCTCTGCGCTCTGCGCAGCGCACCCAGCACCCGGGCCGAGCGGGGCCCACGCGTGACGCCCGCGCCTGTGCACGGCCGGGCGGACTTGCAGGACGTGCTCCATAATGGCACGTGTGCCGCCGGCTCCCCGAGCTCCTCATCCCGCCAGGCACAGCAGGCGCTCAGTAAGTGCTGCAGGATGCCTGTGCCTCAGTTTCCCCCTCCGAGATGGGGTTTGCCTGGCTGGCCCTGTGGCTGGGCTGGGACAACCCGAGAGCAAGGGTCTGCTGTTACCAACCCCACTCTTATTTGGGGTTCGGTGAGACAGGCAGTGGAAGTGTAGGTACCTGAGGGCTGAGCGTCCCCCGATGCTCAAAACCCAGTGGGGATCTCCTGGGGTCACTGAGGGTCAGTCCCCAGCAGACATGGAAGGGATTTCAGGTTCAAGAGCAAAGGAGCAAAGTGTTCTGGGTGTGTGTGCCCCCCTCTCCCTGCCCCAGGAGCTCCAGGCAAACTTCCTGTGACCCCTGATGCCAGGGCCCCCCAATAGGACCCAGGCCTTGGGGACTGTTACACAGACACCCCCAGCCTGATGGGCTCAGGGCTGGCTGCAGGGAGCACCACGGAGCTGGAATGGAGACTGGGCCCTGGGCAGGTGACAGTCATATGGTGCTGCCCACTGCCAGTGGGGGACACAGCAGGGCAAAGCTGGGCAGGGGACCCATCCCCCATTGGCCAGGGTGACAGGGGAAGGGTCCTCCAGGGTGTGCTCAGCGCAGCGGGTGGAGGGCTGAGAGGGAGGAAGTTCCCAGGGGCGGCAGGAAACCCGCGCTGACCTTTGGCCTTTGCAGCTACCCTGTGATTCCTGATTCCGGACCCACTGCAGCCAGCAGGCTGGTGGAGGAAGAGGGTTGGGGGCTTCAGCTGCTGCCCAACCAGCCATGTCTCCAGGTTGGCCAGGCCCACCCAGAGCTCCCAGACCCGGGCAGAGCACACAGGGTGACAACGCGGGTGGGGCTCCACTTAAGTGCTGGCTATGCCACGTGCCAGCTGTGTGACCTCGGACGAGTGACTTCCTCTCCTGGATTTTGTCCTGTCTAAGGAGGAGGCACAGAGCCTGTTGCGAGGCCCCTGGTGCAGGGCCAGCCTTAAAGGGCGGTGGATTTTAGGGGGGACCAGCCACAGCCCCACAGACCCTGCCTGTCTGACACCAGGCTGGGGACACAGGGAAGCGCTGGAGTCTTGGCCTGTGGGACAATGACGGGGGCAGGTGGGGGCAGGGCAGGGCCACCGCCAGGAGGTGTGACAGTCACAGTGTGCACTTGGGGTCTTGCCTGTTGCTCATGAGATGTGGAAAGTGTAAGAATGTGAATTCAGCTGATAAAGAAAAAAGGCAACCTCAAACTCCCAGAAAGTCAAAAGGCGCCTAGACTTGATGAGGTAAAAGTTACATTTGGGGCAATTGTTGCAAGAACCCAAGCTGGCATTTGTAGCCAGCTCAAAACAATGTTCCGTTTCCTTTTCTTTCTGAGATGTTTTGTTCTGTGTCACACTCGGCACAGCGAGAACAGAACTGGTCAGAACCACCGATCCAGGTGATGGACAGACAGGGTTATGAGCAGGGGTTCTCTCAGAAGTGGCCTTGGTGACCGCATGGCGATGGAGAGACGGATTCTAAGAGCAGCGTGAGGCAGACACCTTTCTTCTGCCCCTGGCCTCCCTGGGCACACAGCTGTTGACGTGGACCCTGGCCTCGTCTTCCTTCTTCTCGTTGTCAGCCTGGGCCTCATGTCCCCCGATGCTAAGGCCAACAGGGCATGTTCTGACTTGCACTCAGGCTGGTCTCGAACTCACGATCCTCCAGCTCCCGCGTGCTGGGATTGCAGACAAGGCCACTGAGTCTGGCTGATGACGATCCCACACCTTTCATTCATGTTTCTCGGTTGGGTGGCGGGTGTTTTCAGCTAGACTTTTTTAACAGGGAAAGTAACGATGGAGTCCCTCTTTGAGCTGTTAATTTTTTTTCTCTGCTAAGCCAGGGCTGTGCCACTGTCAAGCCCCAGCCCGGTCTGGAACCACTTCCGTCACCACGATAGCCATGGCGGGCATTGAGACACTTTCTAAGTTCCTTTTAAATGAACAGAAGATCTGAAATCAAATCTCCACAAATGAAATGTCTTGGTGTCAACACCAGCACCCCACGTTTGCCTAGCTGTCACCAATCTGCCCTTCAAGGAAGTTTGTTTCCGTCAACACTCCTGCCAACCATCGCTAAGACTCCTTAAGACACTGAAAACGTCCCTCCTGTGTCCCCACAGAGAGAGGGCCAGCGCTGCACAGGGAGCAGGGAGCCGAGCGGGAAGCATCGGTTTTTTTCCTGGAAACACTTTGTCATCTTCAGGAAGCTGGCGGACCCTCTGTGTCCCCCTGGGGCGCCACGGTCTGACAGGTCTTACACCCCCACCCCCACCCCCCGTTTCTAAATGGAAAACAATCAATTCAGCTTGAGTTGTTTGCTTAGGTGGAGAAGGAAGTCAACTGTGTGTCACTTGCTGAAGGGACAACTGAAGTCCTCAGGAGACAGGAGGTTTAAAAAATCACACGAGCTCAGGAAGACTCTGGGTTTATTTATATTTCTGAGATACGGCCCGGCCTGTAGTCGGGGGGCCTCATGGTCCTCGGAAGGTTCCTAAGGAAGCAGTGGTGTCAGCAAGGTTCACAGTCCCCTTTGCAGCAATGTGGTCTTTGGTTTTCTGGTGAAATTAGGTTTTGTAGTTTGGGGGCAACAGGGATACAGGCAGCCCGTACTGTGTGAGACTCTCCGCCCAGCTTCCATGACTGGGATGGGAACGGGGTGGATAACAGGTCCCTGTGTCCTGGATGACCAGTCCAGGTCCTGACCTGTCCACGATTGCTCTGGGCTTTTTGTTGGTGATGGTACTGGGATATTTTCGTGTGTGTAAGGTACTGGGATTTGAACTCAGAGCCTATACCTTGAGTCACTTCACCACCCCTTTTTTGTGAAGGGTTTTTCAAGCTAGGGTTTCGTGAACCATTTGCCCAGGCTGGCTGCAAATTGTGATCCTCCTGACCTCTGCCTCCCGAGTAGCTGGGATTACAGATGTGAGCCACCGAGCCTGGATTCCCATCACTGTCCCCAAAGCCTCAGGAGCGCTGCTGGCAGCCACAGCAGGGCAGAAACAAGTGGATACCACTCAGTGGAGCATCACTGACCTCCTGTACATGAGGCCATGGACCTCGTCCTAATAGAGAGATGCTTACAGATGGAGATGACCAGCAGAGACCCAGGGGACCATTCGAAGGGAGTGAGGACAGGGGGTGGGGTGAGGGTGTTGTTGGCCCTGTGGGTGGCGGCAGGGGACGTGGGGGAGTTGGTGGTGAGTGGCAGCAGGTCCCATGCCCCCTGCACCTGGGGTGGCAGAGCTTGCTCAGTCCGACTCACGAGGTCCTCACGACTCTCTGCCGGTGGTGTGGAGCTCAGAGCCCCAGCCGTTGCCCCCTCTTCCCAGTGTCCTGTGACAGCTCCATTGCCCTCCAGTCCCACTGCAACTTTCAGGGAGCTCAGAGGGAGGAAGAGGTGGAGGAGGCACAGAAGATGACCAATAATGACAAGACTTGACCCCGTCCACCCCGGGCCCCACGGCCATGCCTGGAGGGACCCCAGCTGGGGAGAGGCTGGCCTCCAGCCTCCAGCCTCCAGCACTGCCTGCTCTGGGCTCCTGTTTGCTTCTGGATTTCCCCAACTTGGGGACTCTTTAGCTGCAGTCTGGGGCGACCCCTAGTGGCCAGAGCTCAGCACAGCAGCCACGTCGTGGTCACTTGCCACCCACCTCTGCCTTGCTGCCAGCATTGAGGCTTCAGGTTCCCATGCCCCTCTCTCCACCAGCCTCTCAGGCATTTTTAAAACAAATTCTAATCTTAAAAGGCAGTACGTGAGTATGATATTTAAAATGCAAACTGTACAAAAGGTATACAGAGGAAGGTGAGACGGTGACTCCCGCCAGCCTCCCAGGGGCCGGGAGCACTGCACAGCCTCCCTCCCAAGTCCTGGGATGATGGTCCCTCCTGGTCCTTCAGGTGGTTCTCAAGGCACACAAGTGCCCACTCTCCCGGTTTTCCCATTGATGTGTCTTGGAGGTCAGCTCCTGCCTTTTCAACAGCTGCATAGTAGTCCACAGATGGATGGATGGACACTCATCTAAACCGTGGCCAGCTGGTGGACCTCAAGGTTGTTTGCAATTGTCGGCAATTACCAAGAATGTGTTAGCAAAGGTTCTCCTGCACCCTCCCTGCCTCTTTGTTTCCTTTTTAAAAATAAACAACTTTTTATTTTGGAATAGCTGGATTACAGGTGTGATTACAGCTACGCCTGGCCACTAAGGGCTTTTCTGTTCCAGGCCCCAACCCCAGGTTCTCCATCCCTTCAAAATCAATCATTATCCATGATTTTCATAAATATAGTTGCACAAAAATTCCTAGAGCGCTCGGGAGGTGTCATGGGAAGGTCATTAGTTCAGGCCAGCCCAGGTTGCACAGCCAGACCCTGCCTCAAAAAACAAATGGGGGGAGAGGAGGGAGGGAGGTGGCCCCACCTGCACCTGTCTTCCAGGAGTGGGCCAGCATTGCTTTCCTTCTCAGATGTTTGCGGGTTCAACCCCAGAATCCAGTCAGTTTGGTGACCTTTATGTTATGTTATTTTACCGGAAGCAGGGGAAAGGGCACAGTCGAGCCCTTCCTAGCGCTGAAGGAAAAGTTAAATTACCTGAAATGGGACTTTCCTTTCCCCAGGGACTACAGGTGCGAGCCACCCCACCCGGCCTTTGGTTTCAGGTTTTTGTTTTGTTTTTCTGTTGAGGGGGTTGCGTCCAGAATG